GTCCTGTGTGTTGTTTTTTCAAAGTTGCAAAGTCCTAACCCGAAAACTCCTCTTCTCATTAGGAACTAATCTGGTTGTGCAACTAATTTCTGTGCAGCAGCAGCAGCAATAGCGAGAAAACACCACTCCTCTTTTTGATTTTAGCACAGTGTCTATCCAATATAGGAAGATTACCATGGAAGCTTTCACCTACACGCCCTTACGAAAGGAAACAAACTGGCATGCAAACTAGTTGTGTAAACTAAATTGAGCCGGAGAAGGTCGGGCGCATTGACAGAAAGGAATCTACTTTATGTAAGAGCACATGTTCGTATGAATAAATGGTGGCCTGGAGGAGAGGACATCTTTATTAGATCTCTCCTGGATTCATATCAAAACTCTGAGTGGGCCTGCTTAAGATATCCTTCTGTGTATTCGGTTACTCCTTCTCATTGTCAGTTTTTTTACAACATATCTGTTTTTGGTAATAAACTGTGTCCTCTGTTTAATGTGTGTTCCTGTAAACCTCCCCTCTCCTCCATCCCAACTTTTGCTGCCGTGCATTATGCTTTTCCAAAACATATAAAACATTTAATTACACAAGAATAAAGTGGCCTTGCTTTGAGTTTCAGGGAGGGTTAGTGTGAGGAGAGAGCAGGCCAAGTAAGCCCCACTACTACTATAAAAGGAATGTGATGGGGAAGGGAGGGCCACTGCACCACCAACATTATTAGCTTATCATCTTACCAAAAAGACAAGAGAGAGGAGGTGGAGAGGAGGTGGTGGGGGGGGTGAGGCTGAATGCACAGGCCAAAACAAGGGGAAATAAAACAACAAGTTCACTCACCCCAGTCCAAAAACTCCAGGATATTTTTCTCTCTTCTGAGCGGGGAGTTGTTGCACTCATCATAGAGGCACACCAGGATATCCAGCAGCGTTTCCACACTCAGACACTGGCCATTAGACTGAGCTGGCCCGTCCAGGATCAGCTTCTCCAGCTTCTTCAAACGCACCTCTCCCGACATGTTTATTCCGGCTTGTTGGATGTAGAAGTAATGATGATGGAAGTGGAAGTAAAAACGAGCAAAAACAACCTCCTCGGCCTTGTTAGTTAGCGCAGAGGGGCCTGCGAAGATAGAAGAAGTTCTCTCACCTTGAGTACGTCTCGAAAATAATAAAACTTTGTCTTGGGAGGGGGGCTAATTTTGCGTTAAAATCCACCTATTCATGACCTCCCTCTGGAGATCCAACATGTAGGAGGTGGGTAGGACGTGCAGCACTTCCCCATTTTTTTAATACCTATCCCCACAGGGCACATAAGAAAAGAAGTACAGACCCTGGCTTGCCCCGGGCCGGCTGATTTGGATGAAATCGCAACGTTAGCTGGCAGTTTTTTCCGCTGGTCTCTTCGTTTAGGGGAGGGGGGAAATAGAAAATAATCGACGAAGAGCTCAGCAGACCTCCCTGAGTTGTTGCTGTGGCAGATATTTGGGATTCTCCATTCTTGCAGCAGCAAAAAAAAAAAAAAAACCCCCCCAAAAAATGCAAAGGCAGATCTGCAATGCTACAAAGCCCCAGCGCCCCTCCTCTGCTCCAGGAATGGAAGGGCGACACAGGCTTAGTTAGCAGCCTGCTAGGTTAGCTTATTTAGCTAGCCGGGAAGCTAACGTTACTTTTCTCCGCTCCCGAATGCCATCATTGCCCCTTTTTTTTCTCTCTCTCCCCCAGGAGTTGACATGTAATATGCGCGAAGCTCAACCGACAGTGTGCGTTTTCATCCAACTGGGAGAAAAAAAATATCCCTCTTGTTTTCACAACTCACTGCTGGCAGATATGTTCTTTAAATCCCATTCTTCGTCCTGGAGAAACGAAATGTCTCTTTTAGTTTCTTCTTCACAGTTCAAAAATAACGACGGCTGCAGTTCAAAGTGGAGTTAGCCGTCAAAAATTGCGGGTCCTTTCTCCTCTTTTTTTTCCTGAAGGTTACACAGTGAGGAGCTCGTTTCACGTCAAAGAGGAAAAGCTGTGTTCTGCTCCTGCTTATTCCAAATACGGGACACAGCCTAAATTCCCCCTCTGTCCTTTCCTTTGCACTGCCTGCCTCCCCCGCCGGTCGCTCGCTTCTTGCCGTCTTTGCTCAGTCAAGCTAACCAGCAGCTTGGAGCCAGAGACTTTACGCAGCGAAGACGGACGAGCAGACACGTCTATCCGCAACGCCGCGCTGCATCACGGGAAGTCAGCTGTAAAATATGAATGAGCCCGAAATGAGCGCTTATCTTCGCGACTCTGCATGAACACACTGTGAACACTATTTATCAATGCTTACAAAATACGCATTTCTAATCAGCGATAAATGCTGTCACCTGCGATGTGAGCTTACTTTTATGGGGGGAAAAAATGTCGCTATTTCCCAACTGCCACCGTCAGTTCGCCATCTTTGCTGCGCTCCATTCGCTCGCATCTAGCGGCCTATCTCCTGCTAGTGTAGCATCTCCGGCTGCTGCTGCTGCAGGCAAAATCCCAGATCATCATCATGGCGCCCGTCACAGCATCTGCTGTGCGGAGGGAGGGGGTGGTGCCGCTGGTGGGAGGGGGGGCTGTCAATATTGTGAATGGAAACTGCGGGCTGTCTGTCAGTCTGCTGGTGGCGTGGTGCGCAGAGGACACATCTTCCTTCTTCAGACTGGAATAACAGGGACTGCTGGCCCTTTAACTGGCTGCAAAAGTTCATGGAGGTGCACTGTACCTACGCAGTGCTGTGGAGTGCGTCAACAGAGGAGCTGGGAGATGCAGCTGAGAAGTCTGTCAAGATAAAAGTGTTTCATTCCAGTCGAAATCCATCATTTTTGATGACTTTTATTTAAAGACCACAACAACACAGTAAAAAAAAATATGAGGGTTTCAAAAAGTTTTTAACTGTACACTGTAACAATTTAATGTTATTGTATTGATTTTCTCCTACTTTTTTAAATTACAAATAATATATCTAAAAATATCCAGTGAAGTCACCAAAAAGAGTAAAAAGTAAACAGACCAAAACTGTGAGACTGTTTTACATGTAACTGAATAAATTACAATGTTTTTGTTGTACTTCAATCAGAAAAAAGGATCACAAAATCTATTTATATGATTACAGCTCTAAAAATATGTATATTTATATATTTTAAATGTTATTTTGCAGTTGTTAAATTCTAGATAATATCTAGTAAAATCACCTCTAAACTCTGGCACTCTTGCAGCCAGATTTGGAATATTTTTCAGTTACTTCAACCTATATATCAAGGGCAAAGGTCATCCATTTAATCCTAACACAGTGCTGAAAAACAGTTTTCTTTTTGAAAATGCCTATGAATAACAAAAATAATAATAGACTATATATAGAGAGAATAATAATAATTACATATATTGCACAGGGGGTGACAAGGGTAAAGCCAGCACACCAGGCTGAGGTTAAGGTTCTTCATGAACAACCTGAACCAGGTCTCACTTGAAGGGGACCCGACTTCTCTCACTAGAGAGTCTTGGGGGTTTTTATACAGTCTCACAAGGGCACCCACCAGTCCTAGTGGGTCACAGTCTCCACCAGGGGCAACCACAGACTAGCATGCCTCAGAAGATTTGACACAGATGCCAAAGGTAGAGTAATGGAGGGTCACCGGTACAAATCACTAGCATTTCATCATCCAGGTCTACATTAGTATTACCTGTGGAGCCGCATGCAGACCTCACATTCTGGCAATACATGATAGTCAGAGTTGGCCTGTACAGTAGTGGAGCCAAAGGATTTCTATGGAGGTGTGCAGACTGAGAGCATTACTCATATTAGGGCGGCACAATGTCATGCAAAAAAATAAATAAAACATTCTGCAAATTGCTGTAGTCATTTTTCTTGTTTTGTATTTATGCAAGTAAGACAGCAGAGTAAACTTCATATACACTGTACTAAGCTTTGTTTATTTATGTTTTCCTTATGTTAAATTACAAGAAAGCTTTTCAGCATTTATTCTTCAATGTTGCTAGGCTATCAGCACTGGGGAGTGCAACCAATCAGATAGAGCTGTAGGTAGAACACTTCTAATTAAAAAAAAAAAAATAAAGAAGAAAAATGCTGAAAATCAGGTCTGATAATTAGCCAGGCTTATAATCAGTCTATTTCCATTCAAACTATCTACAAGTGGTTGCTTTATTGCACTTTTTGTGAATTCTTCTGAGTAAAAACCACAAAGGTGCATCAGTCATGCTCACATAACGCTGCACAGAAACACTAAGAGTCAAACCTTAAATAGGTGAAATAACTGTAAGTATAAATAACTCTTTATGGCAACCATTAGACAACATATAAACCCCAGTGTGTCAGGTTTTATGCCGTTTACAGTGTGTTGCTCTGAACTTATCGTTACCTGTTTGAAAATGCCTCGTCTTTTTGAAGTGCTGAGTCTATCGCTGCTCAAAGTACATCTATTAATGATTAACGGCCTCCACAGCAGCTCAGTCTTTGGGGGTAATGAGACAGACAGTGTGTGTCTGTGTGGCACACATCAGCAAAAAAAAAAACCTGCATAAACCTCGTATAGTTCAGAAAATAGGGGATTCCTCTTGTTAGCCAAGGAGAAGGAAAAGCACAAATATGCACACTGTAATGAAAGGTTGGGCACAGAAAAGCTACTCAGCATATGAGATGTGTCCAATACGACAGATTTTCATGGTGATCAAGCTGTAATTCGAAGCTCAGCCTGCTGCTTTGGCTCAAGTATCAGAAACAGCACTTAAAAGCACATGAGCATGAAGACAAAATAACAATACTGAAGAAGAGAAAATATCTTGCCGTGTTTTACTGCAGAACCAGGTGACCTTATCAAAGGAAAAATCCACTTTAATATCACATTTACATTTATCATCCTGAGCAGTGCAGCTTGAGTTTATGAATATGAATGTAGAGTTTGATGTTATTAGAAATATTTGAATGTTTCTCTTCATGTAACTACAAGCTTTCTGTGATGTATAAGAGATTTACTTGATATATTTGTTGTATTAATGGGTTTTCATTGTGCGACTCCTGAGCTGGTAGCTGTTTGAAGATGTTGTTCACCCAATGCAGAGTGAATATTCAACCACCCTTGTATTAATACATCATATAATCAGCGTATTAGTACGAGGGAAGGTCAAAAAGTTTATAGAGCAGGGCATTCAGCCAAGTCTAAAACCAAAACTTCTTTACATATCAACAGAACAGAACATCTCACTAGTTCAAACATATCAAGTTTACTTGTCACAACATATTTGTGTGATCCTCAGACACATTCTAAGTTGATGACCATCACGCAATGATGGAAAATTTTGAGTTTAGGGCAGTAATAAGTTCCTCACAAAAGGCTGACTGAGGTACATGATGATAATAGTCCTGCCTCCCCCCTACAGTCCAGATATGGCCCCCAGTCATTAGAAATTTGAAATCACATTCGTGTGGAACCAGATTTCCGATAATGATTGCTCAAGGCTGCCAAAGAGGTATGGCTCGAGAACCAAACTGAAGACTTCTATTTTAAAGGTATAGACTGTCTGAAGGAAAAGTGGGCTAGGTGCATTGAGGTAAATGGGGACTATATTGAAAAACAACAGTACAATGCATTGTCTGCTGCAGCAATATATACCTTGTTTAATGAACTTTTTGACCTCCCCTCGTATATATGCAGGTGGGGCGACTTATTTTAAAAACACAATTTTATATTTTATGTCATGAGGATCTGACCAGACTGCTTGTTGCCGTTAAACCTGTGTGCAGGAATGATTCTTTATATGAAATATAATAAGCAAAGGCATCGTTGATGATGGTGAAAAATGGTGCAATCTACAAACAGCAGTGATTTTTGCTGGAATATTGTCAACATTTCAGGCTTTGATGAACTGATTTTTAAAAAAAAACTGTGCAGCATTTAACATCTCTATTCTCTCTATAACATTCTATATTCTTTGGACACTAAAATATGCAGAAAGTCTCTCACATAAGGATTAATACAAAGGAAAAATACCAGAATTACAGTTATAGTGAAGTTAACAGCGTCACTGTGAGGAAAAAAAAAAGACTGAAAAGCAAAGATGTTGCCCCAAATTATGAATTTAAAATGTACATCTGTGTATATAATCCATATTCTAATAATACATGTCATTGACTTTGTGTCTTCACTTGTCTTGTTGTTTTTATTTCGTCTCTGCAGGTATGTTAGGAATCTTTTTCCTCTATTTGGTTTCTCTCTTGAATATAATTTCACAAGGTCGGGACCTCACTGTATGAAATAGGCTGAGATGACTTATGGGGTGAATCAGTGCAATTTAAATCAAACTAAACTAAATCATGTAAATCTCAGTGAGTCTATATAGACGGTGCTTCCCTGCTGACTTCATTAATTCAAGTCGTGATGCTGCTTTCCTGCTTTGGCAGTGTGTCTATCATTATAAACGTATTCTGAACAAATATAAAATAGAAACGTATCCATTTTCTAAACATTAGATTTTAAACTTTTTCTCCAAGTCAGAAAAGACCATTTACACGCTGTGATGACGATTTTATTCACACAATTATGGCATAATTGAAGGACTCAGTACAAACAGGGATGAGAAAACATGATAAGAAATAACTTTAAATACATTTGAAATGAAAGAAACACCACAGAGAGGACAAGTCAAACATCCAGAACAGCAAAATAAGACAATAAATTAATATTACAAACATATCAACACCTTGACAATGCTATTTTTTAATACAGAAAGCTCCTTTAAATTCTATCTGCTTGTACTGTAGCGCCCTCTAGTGTCCAAAACTCCTCCATGCAACTCTTTCTGGAAGTTACTGCAGCTTTCTTGTAGCTACTCTTTCTCGGTTGGTTTTTAGTTAATATTCACGAATGTTAAGCATGCACAAGCTGGAAAATATCTCAGTTTTATTATATTTGCAGCCACAGAAGTGATCAAAACAGATGCTCTTGGTTCAGAATCAGTGTCCTTCACATTGAAAAGTCTCCGCTTGTGTGGATTAAATTAAAAGTGCGTGAAAATGTGTCTCGTTCGTCCCAACTAATGACGTCTGAGCCGGTCTACGTGGTTAAGTCTACACTGGGATTAAACCCTGATGTGTCTGATTGAGCCATCATTAGCTGTGTGAAATGCAATCAGACCATGTTTGTCTACATGTGGAAGCAACGATTGTCCTCCTCCTCCTCCTCTTCCTCCTCCTCCTCCTCCTTGCAGACTGATCGATGATTATTGGCAGCCGGATCGATGCATCTTGAACGTCTGGAGCGACAAAGTTTTAAAAAAGAATTGAAAAGAAGACGCTTGTTTGGGCCATTTAGGTGCAAACTAAGAGCTCTTGATTCCCCCCAAATATTTGAGGTTGAGATCAAGCAGGCAGCAGCAGGTCAGGAAGTCGGTGAATAATGAGGAATCTGCGGTGACCACCAACACAAGTTCAATATTGACTTTGTGCAGCAGGAGCAGCTCCGCCTCGTTTCCATGGAGACGCCTCTAATGAGATGCTACAACATAATGCGCAAAGCAGATGGAAAACAGCCGCTTCTTCCTGCCACGAAGCTCCGATATTTGTCTCGGAGCAGCCTTTTACAAACAGCCAGCAAAGGGGGATCCTATGGTTCACAAATGGAAGGGAATGACCTATAAATTGGACTGCTTTTGAATGCAAATGCGCTGGATGTTAATTAACACCTGCGTTGTTGATTGAAGGAGCTTGTTGGCCTTTGATTGAAAAGAAATGGCACCTATAGGAGCATCAGATGCAGCTTTGAACTAGGCAGCTCGTCCTTGATTGGCAAGGGAAGGAAGAAAGACTGAGAAATATCACACAAAGGGCATCTTAATTTCCCGAATTAGGGGTTGTAATGTGAGGCTGGAGCAGGGCGGTGCATTGTGGGCCCTGGAGAGCAGGCACTTAGACTGGCCTTTGGCTGGACTGGACAATGGATGTGCTTTGAATTTACATGTCTGACTTCAGACAATCTGAGAGGCCTGTTTGGACCTTTACCTGTGAGGGCTGTGGAGCTCATACTGATCATAAATAGTAAGTTTATCATTTATTTGTGAGGAAAAAAACACAAAACATGATTTAAGCGTGTGCATCTTTGTTCAGCTAATTCTGTGCATAAAGTGTCACCCTACTTTTAAAGTCCATTATAACCTCGAGTTTGAAAGTTAGGCTTTTAGGCCAACACCGGCTTGTTTGCAGTGTTTTCTCAACTGATCAATACTTAATTAATGGCCACTGTCCTCATCAATTAAACTAATGATATTAATAAATAAAGCTGCTCATGATTAAAGCTCCAGCGACCCTACTGAGGATGAAGTGGTGTTTAGAAAATGTAGAAAATGGAAGGAAGGACGGATGATTAAAGCTCATATCTTACGACTACAAATGTGCCAACTTAGATTTTTAAAAAATCACATTCACGATTGTAAATGTAATAGTTTCTTTTACTTTTCTTACTCCTCTATTTTGTAAAAGAGGTAATTCATATGGTGATAAGGTAATTAATATCAAATCATGCAAAAAGTTGCAATAGTTGCAGACAAAAAGATGCAAAAAAAACAATACAGATTCTTAATCTTTCTCCGATGTTCCTCCCCTTGTTTATCTTTCATTCCTTCGGTGCTGCTCTCTGTTGCATTGCATCATCATCCACCCACCTCATGTATGGAAAGTGTCATCAAGTCTACATTCATGATGAATAACTGTAGTTTGCAATGAACTTTAACTCAATTTAAACTATTTTACACATATCTACAGCTGTGCAGTAGTTAAACACTTGTCTACTTTCTATAACCTGTTGCATGTTACTTTGGTACAAAGACTTTGAAAGCAAAGGAAACACCAGAGTCAAATTCCTTACATATGTCCACATACTTGGCCAATAAAGTTGATTCTTACTTTGGATTATTTCCTTCATGCATCATCTGATCGTCCCACACATGGACAGTTCATGTGCTATCAGGTCTCCCTAATTAATAATTTGTCTTGTTGCTAAGCTGCAGTCTATGTAGCTCCAGCGAACGGGTCTGGCAGTCATCTGTCATTTGCTCTTCCTGTGTGCCCCTTCAGTCTGTCTGACATCTCTAAGCAAACACAGCCCAATACACAACTGGAGGCCGGGCCCTCTGGGCAGCCAGCGAGAGCAGCCCTCTTCTAATGTTTGTGTGACAAAAAAGGCAAGGCAACTCCTCGCAATGGAATCAGATAATCACTAACCTGTGAAGAGCCTGCCCCAATCCACATCCACGCCGGCCCCCCGGCCCCTGGATTAACTGTCTGTTTGGCTAATAATTTTAATCTGCTGGAGTGGGCCAAGAATGGGTGAACGCGGAATAAACATCTAATCTTCTGGCCCCCCTCCTCCCTGCGCCACTCCTCTGTGGACCCCCCTGTTACACATTTGCACCAAAGTGAACAGACTGCTGGTTTCCAGTCCTGTACGTCCACCAAAATTGTCACTTCTTACAGCCACTGAAGCAGAATGAAGCCCACAGTGTGACAGACTGTTGCCAGACTGGCCCGGCCTGACATCGTCCAGTGGAATGTACACGCTGCAGCGAGGGGTGAGTGTAGACAAGAGTGCTACTGAGGAGAGGCCACTTCAGGTTCACGGGGTCAAGAGATGTCTGTCTGGGACACATGTGTAGCAGCAGAGGACACGACGCCGGGGGAAAGTGTTCTAATTTAGGAGAAATTAAAGTGCCAAGATAAAGAGAAATGCATTCAACTCAGTCAAAAAAACACACCAATCACTTGTTTTCTGACTTAATTGACAATCATACAAACTCATAATGCCAACATCTGTTGGTAATGCTATTTTTTCCATTAAATATTTCAAATTAGACAAATTTCCTACCAAACAAATGTCCCTACTCCCAGAAATGTCTTCTTTTTAGAATAGTAAGAGCATTTTCAAACATCATGGCACCAATTTAAACTTTCTGATATTTTTTCCCCTTAAGAACAATCATACAAACACATGAGGAAAATTATATATTATTTCCCCATATTAATCTACTTTCACCATTGGGAGCACATTTAAAATCAATATTATGGATTCATCTCCTGATTATCTGTGCAGTTAATTAGTTCTTTGGTTTGTAAAAAAAGAAGTCTCAAATCTCAAAGGGTCTCTAGTTCAGAGTTTGCTTTGTCCAAACAACAACCCAAAACCTCTAAATTACAAAACATATTGAGAGGAAAATGAACAAATTTGCTCTTTTAAAGAGACTGAACCGTTAAACTTTGATCTATATACATGAAAAATTAGTCACCTGGACTTTGATCCTGATTATGGCGTCAAATGCATCCCAGGACACATCAACATCAAACATTGTTTTAGTGCAACTATGGTGAAACTATAATACAGATGACACTAGAGTCTAATTGTTACTGTTTGAAGTATGGCCACTTAGATATCCTGTTCAGGATGGGACTGTAGGCTATTGTCGCACCTTTGTTCTGATAACGGTCCCTGCCCCCATCGACAAAGTGCGAACGACTGGGAGGGCCGCAACAATATAAGAGGCCAGAGGAGTGTCAGGGGGACACTGTATGTTGGGAGACCTGTGCTACTGTTCTGCTTTTTGCCATGCCGAAGTTTTTTTTCCTCATGGATTTTCTCCGCGCTTGTGTCCTGTGCAGCGCTCTCCTCGGAGTCACCAAAGCTTTTACGCATGAGGATATGAAGGACGCACTGCTGCAGAAACTTGGCTTGGATGAAGTTCCTAAGATCCATAAGAGGGATTTGGAAAATTTGGTTATTCCGGCACATATCAAGAACAAATACTTGTCCATGCTAAAGATGCATCACAGCAGAAGGCGCAGATCTTTGCCCAGTTTGGCGGGCATCCTGAGAGGAATCCCTGGCAATGCAGGTAAAGATCATTCCCTGTTTTTAAAGATGTAACGTGCAATTTATATTACATTATATGAAAATCGTTTTGACACAAATACTAGCTGAACTTCAAAGCCATTCCCGTGCGTAATTGTGATGCCTGGTGCGCAAAGAAGCTTTTACGCACCAACATATATTCACCAAACTGCAATTTTACGATATTTGAGAGGAAAAATGGACTAAAACTCTTATAATGCCTTGTGGTTTAGATATTTCTGGAGAGTATGTGTACTCTGACACCACTCGGAATCGCATGGTTTTCGACATGGAGGCGAGAATCCCGGCAAACAGCGAGGTAACCATGGCGGAGCTGAAGCTCTACCAGCGGGCTTCCTTCAACAAACGCTTCACGATTGAAAGGAGGCACCACCGACCAGTGAACAACGCCAGGGTCAGCATCTATTGGGTGGAGCTGCTGCCCAACGGATCCAACCGGACGTCGTTGATAGATTCACGGTAAGAGATCACTTTAGGCACATTGTCGTGAGCGCAATGGGTTGTCTTAATTATAGCTCAGCTCTATTCTTCTACAGGAAATATCTCGTTTTAATTAATCGTCCTCATCATGTTCACAGGTTGATCCCCATTGACGAGACCGGCTGGAAGAGCTTTGATGTCACTCAGGCGGTGCACTATTGGTCCAAGACGCAGCAGAAGACACCTATGCACCTGGAGGTGTGGATCGAGGGCGAGAGACCTGGCAGCTACGCGGCAGAGATGGCCAAGAGTGTTCGCTTTACCACCCAGGAGCAGACGGACAACACCTTGGGGAAGCCCGAGCTCATCCTCTACACACTCAACCTCGAAGAGTACGGGTAAGGGCGCGAGCTTTTGATATACAGGATATTGTATCAGAGTGACAATTAGCCCATGTCCTCGTCTTGGTTTTTACCTGCTGCTGTGGAGTGTGGCACAAGGGCGTGAGTTCACTAATTCTCATGGTTTGGAGAAATTTAGCAGCAAATTAGTGGCTGGCACTGAAAAACAACTTGTCCACAATAGCAGAAGCGCATGTATTCAGCTACTTTTACCTCCTAAAAGACAACAAGTTATTATAAACTGACAACGGCAACACAAGCAGGGGTGCAGCTAGGAGATTTAGGGCCCCTTAAATCTGTTTCTAGGCCACCCCATCCCTCTACGGCCCCCTTTAAGATATATAATCTGTGGTCATCTAACTCTTCTCATCATTTCTTCCTCAGCTCTCGTGGCGACTGTGACGCCCACCAAAACAAAGACACCTGCTGCAGAGAACAGCACTTCATCAACTTCCGTTCGCTCACTTGGACACAGTACTGGATCATCGAGCCGGCAGGATACCAGGCCTTCAGGTGCACCGGTGGCTGCAAGCAGCCCAAACGCAACTACGGCTATGGAGAGCGGCGGTGCACAGTGTCTGAGAGTTCACCGTTACCCATCATGTACCTGGTGAAGAAGGGGGACTACACCGAGATCGAGGTGGCCGAGTTCCCCAACATGATCGTAGAGAGGTGTGCATGCACGTTGGACAATGTCTCCATTGTATGAAGTCATGAGAAACGGCTATATTAGTCCTAGAAATACAAACTGCTGGGAAGTATTACAGGAAGGTGATAGTGTTTTTTTCATTTGGGTGTTGATATATTTAAAGGTTTTAAACAACACATCTAGTACTTTATATTTAAAAGGACATTCACTGGGAGTGTCACACACAACAGGCAGACCTGCTGCTGCTAAACTCCACCTCCCTCCACAAGCACTTTTTTATATATTTTGTAGATTTTGATATTTTTTTTATTATTTGAATTTGTATGAGCTGTGTTGACTCTGCTGCCATCATTCAAATTCTGTGTTTTTGAGCTGTACATAATATGAAATAAACTATTTTGTTTCACTAAAAGCTCCTGGTCTTGCTCCTCCCTGCTGCTGAGCATGTCCGTCTGCCCCCATTCACATTCATGACCACATTCACATGCAGTTACATACAGCTGCCTGTGTCTTTCACCTTGTCATTTGCACTTATAGGAAATTGCAAAGCCGAGCAAATAATTTGCCTAATGACTTACACCACTTGTTACGCAGAGGGCACACTGTCAACAGTCAAACCCGCTTGTAATGCTTTATTTGCAGTGGGAAGGAGCTACACGGGCGTTTACAGAGAAACATGAAGTCAATTCATGTTAAGCCGGGCTCTCCATGCGTTAACATCAGCCTTAGGCCGGGCCAAACATTGGTAATCACTGCCAATACCTAATGCCCTGTTTGCTGTCTGAGTGGGGGGTCTTGTCATTCACTAATATGCCGCTGATGTGGGTAAACATGCCAAAGACAAGCAGCTGTCTGTCTGGGAGGTAAGTGAATTCCCATCATGCAGCGGTGAACACAGGTGGTGCTGCAAAGGGACACAAATGCAGCGGTGGAAGAAGTATTGAGATGCAGAACTTAAGCAAAAGCACTAATACAACACTGTATAAATACTGTACGACAAGTAAAAGTTTGATAGTTAAGCAAAAGTGTGCAAGTAGGATTAAAAAAAAGTTCAAGTATGAAATAAAAGGCACTGCAAAAATAAAAATAAAAATAAATCCCCACAGTGACTCTTATACTATTGCAAATTCCATCATTACTACATTATTACTCATGCATGAGTAATAATAAGTAATATTACATATCAGGCTTCGACTAATGACAAGTTTCATTAAGTGAAGGATTGTTTGGTTTGTAGCAGCAAATGTGCACGTTTAAAATAAAAATGAAGTCATGAAATGTTGCTATTATTACACGAACAATGCATTTCAGTTCTATTTCTGTTTACAATTTAAGCTACAACAGAGCAAATGCAGTATTTTGTTAACTTTACGTACATTTTGCATCTGTTATAACATCATACATGTAGTACTTCATCTAGTTATTTATAATATATATTCCAATAGCAACCACAAATGTCAAACCACTGGCAGCGCTACAGGAAAAGCCAGGGTTCACCAACTTCACTAGAATTTCCCTTTTGTTGACTTTAAATAAAAGTAGTTTATCAGAAAATAAAGACGAGGAGGTTGATGAGACCAACCTTCGGGACATCAGGGTAAAGGCCAGACAGTTCAAAGCATAACAAACACACCATCCAGTGAAGCATGGTGGCGGCAGCATCACGCTATGGAGCCGTTTCTCTGCAGCAGATCCTGAAAGTGTTGTGAAAACAAAGTGGGAAAAGGACAGCAGCCAAATACATCCTGAATTCAAACTTGGTTTAAAAAAAGTCTGCAAGAAACTTTTTAGTAGATTTGTTTTCTAGCAGGACAACCTCTAAAGCCAAAGACAGTTGGTATAAAGGAATAAAAACTTCTGTAGAGATCTGTTTTCATTTTGAAATTAGCGAAGTTGCTGTAAAACTTTCAAGCAAAACTAAAGCAAACTTTGAAAATGTTGCAAAAAAACACTAAAAAAGTGCAAGAAAAACATAAACAAAAAACAAAGGAATTGCAGAACAGGCCTGGTCTGATTTAAAAAATATTTAAAAAAGAAAAAATTACCTAGAATTTTGCTGTTTCCACTAACTTTTGCGCTCACAAATATACACTATGGAAACACGGCTATTTAAAGTAGTTTATCTGAAGACCGTTGACGAAAAAAAGCCACATTAAATCCAACGAATAAAACATTTAGAAATGTTTACAGGCAGTGCAACAAATCACAACGTCACCGTATACCAGCTTCTTTTAACTTTAATAGAGACAAATTAAAAAAAAAAAAAGAAAAAAGATACAATCCCAATTTTCTTAACACAAATATTAAAAACCGTCAGATAGAAAAGACAACAAATCTCAAAATGTCTCAAAGCTTTTGCGCTGTTGGTTTAATAATAAAAGACCTGATATACAACCTGCAACACAAAGCGATAAAAATATAGTGTCTGTTGTATTATAGATTATACTGTAAACCCAAAGCTTGCATTCTGCTAGATTTATGTATCCAGTACAATAAAAAAGGAGGGCACAAACTCTCCAGACATTTAAATAGAATCGACAGTTCATCACACAGCAGTACGCGGGCAAACTGATACTTTCTTAATCACAACACATTTATTACTCAATTAATCCATGAAAATTCGTGCATGGTTGAATTAGTGGTGTATTTAGTAAGTATTTACATGTTTTATTAAATATCAACATGGGCAGGTAGAAAATCAAAAACAATGGACACACACACCACCGGAATCGTCGGATGTAATGTAATGGGTTTGTTTTTTCCAGCTCCGCGTTGTTCAAGTGCTGAAACATGAGCCGGGATACATTGTGAGCTGTTTGAATGGGGAGCTGCCGTTACTGTCGGGCCACACAGTCACCAACACGAACTCTAGAGTGCTTCTGAACAAAAGTAACAACGCCGCAAGAGTTGAAAAGCAGTTACATAGCTTGAAAAGGTCTTTTATGAGCAGTCGGCGGAAGTGTTGCGATACTGTGTAGCCCTTTAGGATTGCTGGTGAAAGTAAGCTACCCCGCCTCCATTCAACCGCTTTTGTGCTGAACTCGCATCAGAAATTGAAAAAAAGTGGTGTTAAATCATTGGAGAAATAAAAAATAAGAAAAATCATGCATTTAACGGTCAAATGATATTGTGGTTTGGTGTTTAAATTGGACTGATCAGTGCTTGCCGTTTCTCAGAAGTCTACTGCACTAAAGGAACCGTTGATAGACAATCTAGAAAACATACTTTCTCCTGAGAATCAAGCGTCATCAGTGCCCTCAACTTAATATAAATTAAACATACATGAATTAAGAGGCATAATGTATCACTAAAAATGGCTTATTTCTATCCTTAAAATGGCTTGGCCAAAATACTTTCTCAAAGCAATGTACATTGGAATAGCTAAAAGGACTAGAAATGACATATCAAAGACGAAGACACTTGAGAGGAATACTTTACTACTGAGGCGCCGAGTGGAGCTCGTAGCCGGGCTGATGTCCGTGTCGTTTGAAGTAGCAAACCAGGCCATCGCCCATTCAAAGGTCTTTTACACACCTTTGAACTAAATCAAAAGTCATAAGCCAGGAAGAATGTAAAAAAGCCAACGAGTCGTTTATTGTAGGTCTATGGAGTTTACGTTACAGTTTCGATAGTGGGAACAAAAGACAAAAACTTGCTGTAATTTTTCTGCTGCTTCAGGTTAACTGTTTGACAGTGGACTCTACTGACATGTACAGTCTAACAATATTATCAGCTATCATGCTTCTTGCCAAGAAGCCAAGGTTCCTTTCAATCATTAGGGTTTCTTAAACTTCTCATACAAACTACGCCAAAAAAAAAAAAAAGTATATTTACAATTTGTAATAAAAAAGCAAAAAAAAACAAAAACAAAAACAAAAAAAATCACAGCACAGATAAAATGCACAACCCTGAAAACAAAAATCTTCTTAATAACTGCCCGACTGGCAAACTGTTTCTGTTCCTGATATTACAAATATTAGATTTTTTTTTTTTTTTACTTTAAAAGCATGTCATTTAAAAGTGGTGGAAAAAGATAATGAAATATACAACAAAAAGAAAAAAAAATAACTCATGACTGAATGAAGCTGAACCCACACTGTACATGTGAATATAGATATATATAAAGCTTCAATTACACTCGTGTTGCCTGGTCTCCTCTCTGATGGAATGTTGCTCCACGTCGCTTTAGTCTTGGTTGGTGGGTTTCAGATTAATAAAAGTGGGTTCAAAGAAAAAGAAAAAACAAAACAGCGGGGACAGCGGGGGATGTTCCGTGGCTAGCGGTGGATCTCAGTGTCGCCACCAGTCCATTAGAACAAGTGTGTTAGTAATATCCGGGCTGGTACTGCTGGCTCCACGGCTTCTGGTTCCAGAACTGCACAGAACAGAGTTTATGTTGTTTTAGCACTTTTTTCTAGTTTTCAGATCATTAACATTTGAGGAAAGCCCTCAATCACAATGTCAGAAACCAGCAAGTGAGCAGGTTCAAATTAATAAGAGACATCACTATGAAACGTACCCAGTGGATTATACTGAAAATATGACAATGATTTATTTTTGTTTTAGAAGTTTTGTTAAATTTTGTGTAAATATGTCATGAAGTATTATATATCTTTTAAAAAAAAAGCCTTATTTTGCACTAATTTCCAGAACATAAATCTGTCACATGTTGCTGACATGTTTTCTTCTTTGCTCTATTAAATCACAAAATGTCAAAAAAATAAAAATAAAAATCCAACTTCACTAAGTTTTTAGAAATCAAAATATTCTACACATTGGGGTGTGTTTAATACGAAAAGATTACCACGTAAAAAATTTCAGAATATAGAAAAAAAGGCATAAAAGTGGAACATCTGGTGTATGCATGGTGTCCTGAAGTTGGATTTTTGTCTCAGTACAAGAAAAAAAACAACAACTAATTTCGGGAATACAGCCTAAATGAATCTATAATAATATAAATCAACAGACACAAATAGATTAAGTGTAGTAAAATTAACACCTAAATATGTATTCAGAGTGTTTTGTCTCCACTCTGACATACAACGTGTTATTGAAGCAAAATATCCCACGTTTGTAGTGTCTTGCCAAAATTCTTGTTTGGTCAAAAGTCTTTGATGCACATTAATGTAGATGCATTTGAACCCTTGTCACTGATGCTGCATCCGAGGATGTTTACAGATTACAAATATGACCTGGGAACTGCAAAATGCTTCATATTACATGCAATATTTATTATATTTTTGAATATCAAAAAAAACAAACCAAAAAACTTAATATTCTATGCAGTTTAAGAACTTTTCAACTGAATTGCAGTTGTATTAAGGACACAAATAATTAGTGGGATTGTAGACTTTCAGAAATGTAAGCAAAAATTTTTGTTTTATTAAACCTCACGTATGTTTACCAATGGCAAAGTGTCAGATCCAAATTGAGTCTTGTGTAAAGATCAAACTGTCAGCTGCAGAGATACTGACCCCTTGTTGCCAGCTCTGGTTGAAGGCCTGGGCCTTGTCCATGCCGTTCCTGTTGCCAAAGTTGCCGCTGTTCCTGTTGTTGCCAAAGTTGCCGTTCTTGTTGCCAAAGTTGCCACGGCCACCACCTCTCTGCTGATACTGCAGAGGAAAAAGTTGGATCATTTTAAGTATGAAGCAGCCCTTTAATTTGAAAATGCATCAATTGATGGGAAAAAATGTGACAGTAGGATTCCAGTTCAGATATTTGAATTCACCGCTTCACATATGCATACAGGTGATTTCTACCATTATTAACACATTTTTAGATGTACTTTCAGTGCTACAGACTCTGCCTGCAGGCATCGAGTGTTACTGTCCAACCCACCTGGTTGGGATGTCCCCTGTTTCCACCGCGGTTCATGCCGCCTCCACCTCCTCTGCTCATGTTGCCTCTGTTCATCGGACCACCTCTGTTCATGGGTGCTCCTCTGGGTCCCATGTAACCCCTCATTGGTCTGCCCCTGGGGGATCCGCCCAGGCTGGGAATGGGGCCACCACCCCGGTTAAAGTTTCCACGGTTGGGGAATCCTCCTCTGAAGGCTGGGGGAGGCAGGAAGCCACGAGGGGGGCGGTTGAAGCCGCCACGAGGGCCAGGAGCTGCAGACGGACCAGGGGAGGAAAAGTTAGAATGAAATGCTCTTAGCAGCAATGTGGCATTCTAAGTCACAATGTTGTATATTCTAACAGCGTCTAACTATTGATTATACCTCCTCTGAAGTTGCCTCTGTTCTGGAAGCCTCCACGTCCGCCACCCCTCTGTCCAGGTCCACCACCACGGCCAAACTGGTTCTTGCCTCCGCGGCCACCACCACGCAGACCACCGCCTCTCTTGGGCGTTGTGCTGCCCTGGTTGGGCTTCTTCTCGGCAGGCAGAGCCGTCTTGCTTTCCTCTTTGTACTGTTCCAGCAGCTTGGCGGCCTCCTCCTTCTGCATCTCAGCATAGATGACCTCGTTGAAGCTCTCGCCCTCCTCAGGCAGAGAGTAGAAGCCTGTGATGGAAGGAAAACAAAATATGATCAGCAATGCAGTTAGAGACAACCGCATACAACAAATGAAGAAAATGGAGGACTTTAAATCCTAGGCGTGTTCTTTACCCTTCATTTTGAGCACAGCATGTTCGGGCACTTCCTTTCCGTCGGTCTCAACCTTCTTCTGGACTCTCTGCTTGTAGTCGTCATCAGAGGGACAGACCACAACAGCCTTACGCTGGAAGCCTGCGAACAAACACATCTTCCTCTTCTGGCCTGGAGCAGACAGGTTAGTCTGGAGAAAAGAGGAAGAAGCTGAGTTAAACTGCCATTTTTAATATTTGATTTTAGAGTGACTACTGTGCGATATTGGCGAAGACTACTTACATGATCCAGGATGTAGTTTCTCTTCTTGCGTGCAGCGATCTCAATGAACTTTCCCAAGAAAAGCGGTGCTCGCTGGGAGATGGCGGTCAGTTTTGTAATGTCCTTTGACTGGCGTTTCAGGCTGTTGATCTGCAAGAAGTGAGAATGGAGGAAATTAACATGGGACAGAAGGGAAGGTTTCCTTGGGATGCTGTAGAGCTGGCAACAGTACTGACCATCATCTTGTCCACAATGGTGTCACTGCCCAGGATGTAATACTTCCCAGGGTTCTCTTGGACATGGTTCTTCACCCATGTAGTCTTCCCAGAGCCTGGCAGACCAACCATCACAATGATCTACAAGAAAAGACAGAAGTCAAAAACTGATATTAAAGTCAATACTGGAGCATTCTAATTGTCAACTTGCATGCAAGACTGATGAAAGGAAAATATTACAATCTGAACCAAAGTTCCTATAGTTACCTCGCAATCAGCCCTGGTCTGAGGCCCCTTGAGCCCTCGGACTCGGTCACTGACAGCAATCTGCTGCAGGAAAGTGTAATCCTCAGGCTGAGGGAAGTACGGAGTGTCCATCTGACCAAAGTTGAACTCCACAGCACAGTTGTGGCAGATGATGTGGGGGAAAAGGGCCTGGCCATCCAGGGAGTCCTTGCTGATCTGGAATGCAACAGCTGGCTCACCGCCGTTCTTGGCGAAGGACATCACCACTTCATCGCCCTCAAAGTCCTAAGTCCAAAGAAAGCAAGAAGGAAAGTTGTATATGTAAGGTGTAATAAAAAAGAGGCTATGAAATGAGAAAACATGCAGTCTATCAAAAGACACTTTGTTTTAAAAATTACAGGTGTCTATTCATTGCTATTTGTGAAACTAACAGTTTAACCTCAAAACCCTACGGTGGGTTTGAAAGGGAAGCTACCTTAAAAAAAAAACAAAAAATACATCAACTACACAATTTATCAAAGTCTACAACTATTAAAAACAGAAATAGTGGTGAGATTTCCAGCTTTCCACAAACTGCTCATCTGTAATGTGCTGTTATGTCAGAAAAATAAAAGTATTTCCTAAAAGTGATTTTGTTCTATGTGTCTACTTTAAATATGTACCAGGAAGTGTGTGGAGTCACTATTTCTTTGCCCTAGTTTTGGTAACACTCATGGTCACTTAGAAAAATGTTCTACATATTGATTCTCTCTTTTTTCAAAATACATTTGCAAAAACTCAGCTGTTGTTTTTCCTTTATTTATGACGTATGGCATTATAAAAACATTCTTTCATTCTCTCTGCTTCTCGCCATGATTGTGCCGTTTCCATAAATGTTCATGACTTTATACTGCAGTAAAAAAAATAAGCCCAAAGTGAGTGTAAATGTGAGCAGAAAACACAGAGGACATGCCTAGGGTTTATATTTCATTAGGGTTCTTCTCTTTCTGATGTACATTAAATGAGGGACCTTCTGAGAATAATTCTATTATCCTCCCCCATTTACATCCCACATGTTTATCCTCACCTTACTTTGGCCTATTAGAAAATACTAATTCTAGTAAGATCAGAATTTTGTCTCACAATTAGGCAGCAGACGACGTCATTCTCCTCATAGGTTTCTCCAAAGTCCTCTGTCACACAGTTGGCGGTCTTCTTGCCTTTCCCAGAGTAAGCGTATGAATGCTCTTCCTCGCCTAAACAATGAAAGGAGAACACATTAACTGACAGAACCATTTATGACAGCTAACGGATGGCATAATAGTTCTGAAATAAGACCACATTTCTGTCACTGGGACTTCGTAACTGGATAAGTGAATCATCTGTGTTGGCACAAGGCTGAACACAATTGCAGCCAAGATGAAGCCATTTTATATTAACATGTCATGCTGCTTACAGCCCACTAGAGGGACCTCTTCAGACACACTGCCTTTCACAGATCACAGCAGATACAGATTTTGGAGGGATCTTATTTGGCAGACCTCCATGTAATACAAATCTAGTAAAATTAGGTGTGTCCATAATACAAGGTTCAGTCTTGCAGACACCTAATGAATAAAATGCTGTAAATTTTTAACCTTAAATTATTCAGCCTATATGGCCTATATGAGCCACAGCAAATGGCTGCATTCGTCAATGGGTGAGGAATGATGAGGCAATGATGACCAATGAGAGTTAAGTCCTTATAAAATAAAAAGGTCAAAACAGACCAATCGTTTTCTGTACACCAGATGTGTGACGTGACCAATTACAAATTGCCCTGGCAACACATTAAAGAAATGCTGCCAGGAGTAAATGGAAAGTTACTGCTGGCGTCAACATTTCATACCAATGATACTGAATGTCAGCAGTATAATATTTACAGAGCTAAAGCGAGTATAACAGCACTGACCGAGGAGCAGAGTGCCAGCAGCCAGGGACCAGCCGACCTGCACATCATGGATCTCCATGTTTTTGCTGGAAATGTGCTTCACTGGAATCTTCTCTGTAATCTGCACAAACAAAACCAAACACATGAACTAAACATCAGGGTCCCCTAGTCTAAATATTACTTGTGTAACATCAATCACAATTTACAAACTACACTGCAGGAATACATGAGCACTGTTACTGTACCTTCATCTCAAAGCAGGCTTTGCCTTTGTTCACACCGTAGGTGGCCTTGCCTCCTGACCAAAGGTAAGCGAAACTCTCCATTGTGAGAGATGAGGCGCTGAAACGGTCCCGTGACACTTTAAAGTGCAGGTCACAGTTGTCTAGAGCACAAAAAAATGCACACTCATAAGTTTCTGGCAAAATATATATATATACATACATATAAAATCAATGTGTTTCAAGTTACAGTTCTCGAAATACAACCAACTTACAGGTATCCAGACAGACTTTTGTGTCATCAAACTCTTCATCTTCTTCCTCCAAAGGGGGCACAGGAGACTTAAATGAGGCCCTGAAAAGAGATGCCAACAAGTCAATTAAAGGATTGACATTTCGGTGCAACTGCATGGAACATATAGATGCCTTGGGTACCAGTTGCTGAAAAATATTGAGGGGAAAGAAGTGGAAAGACAAACTAGGGGAAACAAAATAGAAACAGTGAATTGGGCAAGCGAGCCTCCAAACCTTTTGGATAGTCAGTTGTATTGTGGGCCTTGGCAGACAACACTTACCTTGCAGCATCCAGCGAAATCTAAAACATGAAAGATACACAGATAGAAAGCACCTCCACTAGCCTGAGCATGCAAGGCTCTCCGTTGGTCAAAGTGATAAACTAAAAGCAGACCTCTCCCCTTTCAGATGAGTGTGTTTGTGTCTCCAAGATTACTGTGGGGTCAGTCGCTGCAATATGGGTGAAGTTATATTTAACTTCCCGTGTAGGGAATTCTAAATGAAAAGGTCACGACTAACTTGCATGTCTGTCCAACTTTACAGTACAGCTGAAGCTGAAGTGTACTGAGAGCCACAGCAACTTACCAACTCTGTAGCTTTAGAAAATGTGCCCTAAATCTCTAATAGAATATTGAAGAAACTAGTCCAAACTTTGTTCATATTCAAATGATGCTTAAGCACTGTTTCACCGGCAGCAATGATCCAGTAGAGTAATTATTTAGCTGGAAGCAACAGATTTGATGCTCGTGATCCCATTCTCCTCTGCAGCAGTCTTAACATCTCCCCAAATCCAAAGACATCTGTCATCATATTTGCTCCAAATCAGCCCTGAATGTTGCACAAATAGCTGCTGTGGGGGAGATTTATAGTGGTTCTGGACAACACACTGCCTGAGCTGGAGCATATGGTCAGTGTAGCCGCCAGCAGGTCACACACTGCCTGGCACTCTATTAGCCTGTAGCTGCCCAGGGGCCATTGATTTAACATTGAGTAGATTACAGCTCAACAAGTTTATTAGAGGGGGGAAAAAAATCAGTAATGGGAGAAGTTAAAAACTGGATTTTTAATTAGGAATGAATAGGTCCGTTCATTAAAAAAAAAAAAAAAAAAAGAAAAAGTTGGCTGTCAGATATGAGGGGATAAAAAACCCATGTGAAGCAGCAATACTATGATGTTCCAATGGTTCTGGCGCCCTAAAAATTTGATAACAGTCCCAGACTATCAAAAAAAATAAACAAAAAAAATCAATTTCTGCCCGTTGATCCTTACAGCGTGTCAACAGCGCAATGAAAACAAAACACTGACCAAGAAGTAGGTACATGTATACACACACTCAAACACCCATGCGCGCCATGCATGATGTCACCTATGCAGGGGTAGAAAAAGAGCCTTGCAAATGCACACATCCGCTCTCTCACACCATGATAGTACACATGATACACGAGACAGAAATAGCATTTTGACATCATACAACCAGTGAAATAAAAAACAAAACGGAAAAAAAATAAGACCATTGCGAGGCAAAACGATGGACGGTCAATAGCGAGCTCCTCCGTGGTGGACGTTGGGATTTTTTTGTTTTTTTGTGGCTACATCCTTGTGTGCTACCCTGCAGCAATGGACCCCTCCTTCCACGCCTCTCAGCTATTCCTCCCCCCCCTCCACCCGCCCTCCATTCAACAGTGCACATCTGCTACTTTCCTCTGGGTTCTTTTTGAGCAGCCTCGATTCACCTTGAGGACACAACGGGCTTTCCAAAACAATAAGTGGCATGAGGAACAGATGTGAAAATTCATAGAGACTTGATAGATGCACTTCTGCTACAGAATGCAGTCCATTAAAGACACAACGTGAGTGGGTACTGTAAAAAGGTAAATGGTAAGGCTCTATAAAGTAGTCAGGGATGACCCTCAAAACGTGTGTGTGAAAGTAATGTTAATTATAAGGTAGTATAATACTTGAAAATGAGGGTTTTCCGCTTGCTAGTTATGTGCATTGGCACTTAAAGCCAATACAGTTCAACAAAGCTATGGATGGCGTTTCAGGGATGCTGAAGGCCATTTTTGCTCTGTCCCATCCTTACCAGCTGTATTTGTTCTCTTCAATAAATTCAAAGTAGCCCCTTCCATGTTCCTCCCGGCGTCTCTTAACACCCTTCTTATTCTTCTGATCAGCATTCGTGTCTTTGTCCGCATCCCCTTTGAAAATAGAACAAAGATATAGAATGAGGTGCTCCTTTTTGTGAGAGAGAGAGGTCGGACTGGCAGTGGGGTTCTGGCCCACAAAGCCCGTTCATTAGTTACATTGTGTCGACCATAATCATCAAAATTAAGGCTACTAAGAGGCAACACCTCATAATTAATAAATAATTAATATAAAACAATACAGTCATACTCCACAAATTGTAACAGCTCTTAAAAGACCAGGTAGTATTTACAATAGCAGCTGGCCCAAATGAACATTGTGAACAGTGTTTGCTGGGGCTGGAAAGAACAAGTCTCTGCAAAGTAAAGGGTCATTAACCCTGCAATAAAGGGCCTCATATATAATATTTTCAATGAGGTTCAGATACAAGTCTATTTCATTAAGGAGGGCAAGTCTACTGTTGTCATGCAGGGAAACAGGAGACCTACTTTAGACCTGGACTAACCCCCCTCCCCAGTATGTTGTTACACTTACCTAGGTGACTACTGTGTTGTGCAAATCCATGTTGTCTACGTTACGCCAACAAACTTTCTATTCAAACCACGGACACACTAACCACGTGCTAGCTAGACAAGCAGTTCAGCGCCGGCTCCTTCTTCCGTATAGCTTTCGGTTAGCTGGATCAGATGTTCCCTGTCTAATTCAAGTCAAATACCCACTGTTGGCCGCATCACACCATTTTTAAACTTCGAAATTTTAAATATTGCTATTTTGGAATTGCTCATTTGTCTGTTCGTTAACAAGACAGCAACGGAGGCTGAACAACTGACTGCAGGTGGGATGCTGAAGTTAGCTTTCGATGGGCAGCTGAGGATTCTGCAGTTAAGGGAAAAGTTAAGGGAAAGTTAACTTGACATGAAAATGCAACCAAAGTGACATTTCACTGGCTTCACATCTGGACTACATCAGACTAGGTTTAGATCTAAAACTACCATGCTTAAATGATGAAATCTGGATTAAATTGTCTCTGGAAATGCAAAAAGTCTTAAAAGAACAGATTCTAATTCATAAATTCATTATTGTATTTGTGAAAATACAGAGAAGCAGGATTTCACTGTTGTTTTCACATCTGGACTACTTTAAACCAGATCTAGATCTAAAACTCCTATGTATAAATGAGTCAAATCTGGACTACATTGTCTCAAGAGAGGCTGAAGATTCTTCAAGCACAAGTTTAAATTTGTGAAACCTTTAGACTATTTATAAAATTGAAAAAAAAAAGTGAGATTTTATTGCTTTTCTGCATATGGGCAGCATTGGCTCAGGTCCACACCTAAAAAAACCACTCACGTTAAATAGGTCAAATCTAGCCTGCATTTCCTAACAGAGGCTACAGATTCTTTAAAACACAGTCTCTAATTTATGACATCTTTACATTATTTGTGGAGATGCAAAAGAAAAAAAAAGTTTTATTAAATTTAAAAAAAAAAAGATATTACTAGTTTTATTATGGTATTTAAACTATTTAAGGCTGCGGTATAGATCTAAAACAGCCACACTGGAGTCAATCTGGATTAAGTTGCTTCAGAGATCACATAATCTGTGAAGCATAATCTCTAATAAGTAAAACGTTTACTATTTGAGTGAAAATGCATAAAAGGGATGTTTCACAGCTTTTCTCAGCTTGGGGGTCTGCATTACATTAGATCCAGATCTTAAACCGGTATACTTAAATGGATTCAAAGTGGACTAGACTTAAAATAAGTCTAATCGGTAAAACTATTATTCTATTCTTAAAAGTGCAAATAAGGAGGATTATACTGTATTGAAAAAAAATGGAACTGGTCTAATGTGGTCTACATGTGCACAGAGCAATAATACGCCTCGTAATTCAAGCTGTATATTTACAAAAAGGGACTTCACTAGTTTTTAAAAGCTGGTTTCAGGCATTTAGTGTTAGGCCAAAATGTCTAAAACGGTTTGGTGGTTGAAATGTGAAAAACACGAAGAACATCGATTATTTCTGGACATTAGGTTTCCCTTAAATTCTCCCTTAACTGAAACGGAAACTAGCTTCAACGTCGTCACTGCAGTGGCCATTTCAAATATTTCGTTTTCTCGTTGTGCCATTTTAAGTAGGTTGTTACAGCTAATGATTTTCCTTTACGCACCCCCGCCCTATCATCTCATTCGTGGCCAAACGCCAATGTGGGAACCTCTGAAAGAGCTAACTGGTTGGTCGGCTAGTTAGCACTGCACCACAGACACAAAGAAAATGAAGCTAGCTGGCAAGCTAACACGCTAACCAAACGAAACGAAAAACCAGACTAGACTAAATCGATAGCTCATACCTCACCTTCTTCGCGTTAGTAACTATAGCTAACGGCATTCAATTCAGAAGTAATGAAGCTAAAAATGTCGTTTGAAGACTGGCCTAGAGGTGCTTAACGTTACTGAATGACTAGCTAACCAATGTGGTGACCGCTGCTAGCGCTAAGTTAGCTGACGGGCTAACGGTTTGAGAATGTGGCTAACGCTGGCTAGCCTGGCGGTGAGGTCACGCTATCTAGCTCAACATGGACGCTCTGTTGTGTGCTTCATATCTGGTCATTCCCAGCCGGCTCCCTCCCGCGGCTGCTTTACCGTTACAACAAAAAACCGACACCCAGCCACAGGCCATCCACCCAGCCACATTTTTTCATAAGCAACTCAGCCGACTCACCCTCAGCAGCCTGGTCCGCGGGCTCACCGTCCTCTGCCTCTATTTTCTCCATGTCGTCCACATCTCCCTTGAGCATGGGGTCCATCTCGTCGTCCTCCTCTGCTTCCTCTTCCCCCTCACCCATCTCTTCGTCTTCGGCGACGCCGTTGCCGTCGTCCCCGTTCTCTGGCTCGCCCTCTTCCTCGTCCTCGTTGGCCTCCATGCTCTCTTCAATGGGGCCTTCTTCTTCCTCACCCATACCCTCCTGGTCGGCGGCTTGGTCGAAGCCGTCGTCGGCCGCGGTGTCCGCGTCTCCGCTCAGGGCCTCCTCGTCCAGCGCGGCCTGCAGGCGGTCCATCAGTTCGGCCTTCAGCCCCTTGTCCGACAGATTGCGCTTCTTCAGCTCGTCCTTCAGCTCATTTACTTTCAGTTTTTTGACGTTGATGGAGCTCATTGTGAAGGTTTAACGGCAAAATGTGATAAAAATACGACGGTAAATAAATAATTTGGACGCCCTTTGTGAACGGATGTAGCTCAGAACTGCGCCAAATGGCACCCGCTTGTCCGACACTGTTTCACCGGCAGAGAACTGCGGCTGCGGGGTGGGGGAGGAGGACGGCCTACCGTAATCAGCCGGAGAGCCGCGCAGCCCGCCGACCATCTGTCGCTGCCAAACCACCCCCACTGAAGGCATTGTTCTGGAAAAAGTGGAACAAAATGTGGAGGAAAACAAAATGATCCGGCTGGGCATTACTTAACTTGTCTTTATTCAAATTTTAGTGGAGTTTAAAATAAACCTGCGTCGTGCCTCTCAGAAAAAATAGGAGAATAATAGGAAGTAGAATACCGTAATGTAGGGCTGCACGATTTGGGGGAAATATTTAATTACGATTTTTAAAGCCTTAATTTAATATTTAATGTGTAGTGGATTTAAAACACATGATGAATCATTACCCCACGAGACGGCAATAAATTATTATAGAAATCAATAAATAGAATTAACATCATCTCACAATTAATAATATTATCTTTTGCACATCTTAAGCAGTTTGATGTCATTTTGCACATTCTCAGGTGAATATTTTGCATATTGCGACACACTGTGAATATTTCTGTTACTCTTTATTACTTATCCTTTGGATTTGCTATACATACTGTTTATTGACTAAAGCAACACCTGCTTAAAAAAAGTCTTTATATCCTTTATAAAATTCTTCTTGTCAGTGATGCAGGAAACACCAAGTCAAACTCCTCATATGAGTACTTGGCAATACAAATAATTCTGATATTAACTGCTCTCTATTTAAATGCAAAGATGAGAACTTAGATATAAACTGTTTGAAGTATGTATTTATGACATTTATATAAATAAATTTAATAACATAAACTGATAGTAACTATTCAATGCTCTTAGGTCCTGGTGGGGGATTCCAGACACCCACTTGCCCATCAGTGTTTGAAGTATTTCCCCCTGCATTGATGCTTTTCCCCTAAATCTTTGCATTTCTTATTATGCATTAAAAGTTTCACTCTCCTGATTTTACACATGTCAAAGTTTGTCATCACAGTTGTCTCATCTTGGCCTTGACACTTAAGATATTTAACAGAAAAACAAACTAAAGAAAAGAAGGCTTTCTATTGAGTTGTATTTTGGGAAATGTAGGTTTAAGCATTTCTATCAAGTACCAAAAAGCCTTCTGTCTCGCACAATTACACCAATTCTGACCAGTCCTTATAAAATCTTTTGTCGTTCTCACAACTTTATGGAAAAGCAATATTAAATTATTAATGCAATTTGTCAATTTACATGTTTTAAATACTGGCAGATGATGTAATTCTTTAACTGTATTGCAAACCTCTTGTTACACAGGACAAACCAAAGGTGTTTTAAATTAATTTCATGAGCAAATTTTTGATTTTCATGTACAACAGGTTAATGTAATGAAATGAAATATTTTCTCAGGTGCAAAAATTCAATGTAATGTGCAATAATTGTTTACCATGTGTAATATTGCAATTCCATTTGAACTATTGCACAATATTTCATTATCATGTGTGATAGTAGTCTTATTTTTGCTTGTTTTTATTAGCAGTAGTGAATTGTACTCATATCTTGTTGCTTTTCTGCCAGGTGTTGCATTTATTTTCATGTAACTCTGTTTTCTGAGCAATATCTTGCAAAATAATTCATCTTTTTTTTTTTTTTTTCATTCCTCCCTACAGCAATTTCTATTTTGGAGCAATCAAGGTGACCTCTAGTGTGCTAATAATGCACATTATAGAAACTATATTAATGTTAAATGTTGGCATAATGTTTTCTCAAGTGTTATCATCAGGATTTGTGACAGTATTTGCATGTCTCACAAGCAGCTTCATGGGACTGCTCTGCTGCAAAAAGGCGCAGTGACATCTGAGGAACAGTGGGACATGGATTGTTGATGAATCATGTTGCGAAAGGCACGAAATTTTTCCCTCAACCCTGTTCTTTCTGCATGTCTGAGCAGCTGCTCTTTACTGCCTCCCTGAGGAGGTTCTAATAAAAAGCCGAGTGGAGTCACAAAGTGTTGCTCCGGTGCGCTCACTGCTCCTCCACTGTCATCACTCCACCGCTCAGATTTACTGTCTCCAGCTTCTCACTTTGTTGTAATTTTTTTCATTCATTTAAACCTATCATGAGTGAAATCTTTTGGCTTTTTATCCCGGGAGCTTTGGTAAAATTTATGAAAAATGCCTCCTGCCTTTGTTCGGATATCTTTTTAAATATTTACAAGTTGTCATGTCATCTCTGACTGGAAGAGGAGAGAGATATCCTGCCTCCATCAGCGCAGCGCACTGGGTGAGTCACATTTCATCATTACAGGCAGAATTTGTTAAAAAGAATAATAGAGTTGTGGAAGAGTGATTTACTTGCACAGCTTGAGAAGGAAAAAAAACAGTTGGGTGTGGTTGTCGATTGATATCTAACTCCCAGCTGCCAAAGCCCACATGCGTCCTCCTTATGATGATTTATTTCTAAGGGCTCAGAAGTGCAGCATCACTGTGAACAAGTCAGTTTTCCTGCAAAAGAGAAGCAAACCAAGGAGCGTCCCACTCCTGAGGGCTCCCGGAGCGACCCACAGCAGCGGAATATGTGCCAAAGAGCGCACGATGTCCCGTCCTACAAGTCGCTGCCCGGAGCCGTAGGAGACCGCATCAGGATGTCGTTCGGCGGCGGGACTCTGTGCAGAGGCTCCGCGTCGGTGAATCCGGGCTTCGGGAGGTCCGATCGGAAAGTTGGCTGTTGCGAGAAGTGCTCGGCGACCCTTGTTGCTCTGAAGAAACAGGCGCTGAGTCTGGCTGTTCACCATCACTTCTCCTGCAAGGTCAGTGACAGAGAGGATGGAGGAAGATGCTGATCAGGGACGGACAGGCTCAGAAATGCACAAAGCAGCAGTTTAAAAAAAATATATATATAATGTGCTTTTTGGACTAAATACACCAAATATAATTGAATAAAATAAATTTCAGGAATCCTGAACAGGTGGTGGTATAGGATCATAATTAGAATTTCTGTACATAAAACGTAAAAAATGAACAAATTCTTGTGTTTTTTCCTCATATGATCACTAAGTTTGAACAGATATAAGCTTACTGGATATGCAGAAATGTAAAATATAAAAAATAAGCCATTTAAGTCATTTTTAAGGCAAAAAAATGCTCATCTTTGGTTCCAGAAATGTGGTCATTTGCTGGTTTTGCTTGTCTTCTATGATTGAAAGTGGAAATGTGAATATTTCAACTCGGGCTGTGCAGCATTTCAATAGACTTTTTATTTTATTTTTTCCTTTCATTTTGCACACTAAATATTCAATAAATTGAAAGAAAAATCAAAAATAAATCATGAGTTGCATCAGTGACATAAATCCACACATGCAGACTTTGTCATCAGCACTGACACTTTTGAAGCCTTTTCTGGCAAGTGCTTTACGTTCAAGCCTCTTAACAAGTGTTTTAATGCTCATGTGGCCACATCAGTCTCTCCTGTGCTGCCTTTTAGTGGGATTCACATCCACACGTTCATCACCGCCAGCATCCATCACTCCCATTGACAAAGTGAACCAAGTGACATTCCTGCGCGAGTGGTTTTAAATGGGCATGAATATTTCATCTCGACATCCCCGTGTCATCTCCAACAGTTCTCTCTGTTGAGGGGAGGCTATTTATTTTTGTCCTCCTTAAGTGGGATGGGACACATGATGTTTTTAGAGGGAGGGAGACCACAGAGCGAGCGGGAGGGAGATGGTATCTTGCGGCCACCGACGTGGTCAGTAGAAATCTGATAAACCAGCTTGTTCTTTGCAGGCTTATTGATCTAAGCAAGCGGGATTTCTCAAAAAGCTCTGTAAACCGTGTTTTTTATTTTTTAAGAGGAGCTGGCAAAGATGGAGAGTTCCAGTTGCCGGTCTGGCTGCAGCAGCACATTTCTTACTCTGTAGATCTGTCATCAGTTCACTTTATGAATTGGAAGCAACCTGAAACTGCAGGTGGTAGAACTTGTTTAGTTTGACTACGTGAAACAGAATATCAGGAGATTCATAACCCCTTAATGTTATTTTATGGAAGAAGTACATTTAGCAGCTGCAGTTTCAGCAGCTTTGGAGTTTAAACGTCTTTGTTTTATAGTTGAGAGCCCCTCTAGAGGGTCACTGGCAGTTTGCTGGATGGATTGGAAGAGGCAGCGAGGGAGGATTGTGAGTGCTGGATGTTGGTACATGACACAGGAGCGTTTTTGTCAGGATTAAAAGCAAAATGATGGTTTGATGTTTGATTCCATTTTGTTGCATTTGACAGCCACGGTCCAGGCTGGGAACTCAGATGTCAAAACTCTTCTTTTAAGTAGTGTGATTTTAACTTTTTCTGAAACCCGTTGTCTGAGTTTTCTAAATTAAATCTGACTTTGACAAATGACAAGATTCTGAATGACTGCAGTCCTCAGTGACAGAACATTGGTCTCCTGTTTATGTTTTACAGCATGTTACTGATATAAAATGCTCCTTTAACATTTTTTCCATGATGCCATGTTGTTTTCCAATAATTTGTTTTGAGATTTATGCCATGTTCCATCCATTTCAAACGTGCAGTGAATGCATTTTGTTTTCACTGCACTTTTAAAGATCATAGGGCTGGTATTAATCAATACTACTGACTCCATGATTACTCCGCTAAGTGCTAAGATTGTTCACAGAGCATATGGGGATGGATTCGTGGCAAGGCACAGCAAGCGGTCATGTAATTCTCCAGCCAGAGAAATTAGCTTCATTATTATGTCTTCGATGGAAACTTGTGCTGAATCTGTGATGTTATAGTGAAAACTCTCACCTACAAGAACAAAAAAAGTCATGTTTTTAGCATGAACAGATGAGGTGTTTTCCAGTTTGTAAATTTAAAATGATGTCTTCTGCCGTCTTTTCAAATTCTACAGGACTCAAGTGATCTGTCAGCATTTCTTCACGACAACCTCCGTGTCCATGGTCGGTCCACAGACTTCAGGGAAAGAGAGAGGGAGCAGGGCGAGTGTGGAGTGTGTGGTACGAACCTGAACCAGCTCAAACAGGAGGCCGTCCACCTGGCTCTGAGCCGGGGTCAGTCATTAGCTAAGCCTCCTTTTGAAGCCGCTGCCTCCCTGTGGGGACAAAGTGAGACAAAGGATGGAGACAGGGCTTCGAGGGAGGCCGTGCATCAGCCACGCAGTCAAACCTGCAGTCCTCACAGCCCGCGGAGCCCCAGGACGCCTCAGAGGACCCCCCAAACCCTCAGACGGAGGGGGGCCAAGCTCCCTCACTCTGATATGGACCGCTGGGTGGAGGAGCAGCAGCAGTGGGTGGCTTCTAAAACCGTGTCCAGAGCTGATGGTGTCACCACATACCATCAGGTAAAAGCCTTTTCTCAGCACTAAATCACACATAACGGATCCCCCAGTGTGCATCCCCCTTTTAATGAGCCTTATGGGTAACGTATGTTTTTATGGGTGCATGTGTCAGCGGGCCAATGATTCATGGCGCCTAATCAGAGCCTATTTCGATTCCTTGGCTGAGCATGCTGTTTAAAAGTACTTTTGCTAATGGAATGGAATTGGGTCATGATTTACCTCGTCATAAAAGCCAGACAGTCAAAAAGCACTTGTGATCAATAGCGGGGACGGTCATATTTAACATTGCGGCCGGTGAAACGTGCATTACTGTGATGGAGGCCCCACTCCAGTGAGAGCCCACCTCCCTCCATTTTTAAAAAAGGGCGCAGCTGAACCTGAACAAAAGGAGTGGCGACTGTTTTTTGTGCGGCTGCGGCTCAGGTGGTAGAGTGGGCTGTCCTCTAATCGCAAGTTTGGCAGTTTGAGGTGTGCATGTGGCTGTTTCAAGAGGGATGCTGCACACAAAAAGAGTATGAGAGGCCTGTTTAGAATCAAAGAGAGAGCAACAGTGTGTTCACCTGCTCTCATTTAAGCTTTAGTTTGTCCACCCAAAATCCAAAGAAGTAACCCAATGCTACTTTCAAGGCCCAGCACCATTTCATGTTGAAGGCTACATTAAAAAAAGACAGATTTGTATTACATTTGGGGCAAGTATGCAGCTAAATCCATTATGCACAACCGTGCTGTGTTTGCCAAACACATTAGATAAAGGTTGTCTTCATCTTAAAAGGTTTTCCACTGTTCTCTCCTTTGTGTTGCTTGTCCAAGTAAACAGTAATGTAAGCATTAACATCATTTAGATTGAAATAGCATCTTAATCTAACATGTTGAATGCCAGGACTACATTAAAATATAATAGAAATGCTTCCATGTTGCCTACAATTCAATGGTTTTTACCTGAGACGTGTAGGTTGAGGTTCAGTCTTCTGTTACTATGTTATGTATGCAGCCCTCCGAGGTGGAAGATGTTGTACTTAAGTAAAAGTACCAGCACCACAGTGTACAAGCAGTCTTTTACAAGTAAAAGTCATGCATTTATATTTACATGCAACTGTAAGTACTAAAAAAAATTGCATCAAAATATACTTAAAGTGCCAAAAAAGCACTCGTTGTGCAGAATGGAATATTTCAGAATAATGCAGAATTTTAAGGTGATTGAACTACTTGGTAACTTAAGGATTTTTCTCTCTAAGAATCAATAAAGTTTGATCTTAATCAGTAATGTTACATCATGATTTATTTGTTAATTATATTTTCTATTATCAAACTAAATTTCTAAAGTAACTAATAACTTCCGTCATCAAATGCATATGGGGGGTTAAATAGTATTTACCTCTGAACTGTAGTGAAGAAGAAGAATAAAGTAGAAGATCGTGGAAGTACTTCAGTAAAGTTGAAGTAACTGAAAGTTGTACTCAAGTAGAGTACTTGAGTAAACATACTTAGTTATTTCTCACCACTGGCAGGCATCATCCATCTGTTGAAGACCCGTTAAACAGGGTTCTCATTTTAAACAAGTCAGCAGTTAACCCCACTGTAGCTGGAAAACCCCGCTCGTGATGGTCGCCTGCTGGAAATGAGAGGTTTGCTTTTTTTCTGAAATCAAGGACACATTATCTAAAAAAATGACTTTTTTCTGCCTGTTGTATAATAGCAACAACTGCGTGTCCACAGCTGTCTTTGTGTCCATAAGGGAGCATAATCAGGGTTTAACTGAGCAGGGTGGGGCTTAATGAATGCTCAACTGGACAGAAAGAGTCTTGAGAGATTCATGCCCTTATTGTAGCTATTATTGATAATCGATTTGTCTAATTTAATGTAACAGTAACAATCCAACATGTTATTCAAATGAAACCATTCTGTGTTGTGCAAGACTGTATAAGAAATTAGCCAGGCGGGTCCAGTTTGAGAGCCGATCAATACGGGGTTTAATGCGGCCGAGGTGAAAAAAAGACAAGTGAAAGTGGAAGAGTAAGGAGATGAAAAGGAAGAAGAGAAAAGGGAAATTAAGTGTGTAGATGGGAAGCAGGACGACAGGATGGAGGGTGGGGGAGGAGAGGAAAAAGCAAATGAAAGAGCATATGAGAATAAACAGAGAGAAGTTAGAGAGAAAGATATATGTTAAAAAAAAAAAAGGGTTATTACAGAAGATATGAGTCACAAAGAAGAAAACAGGAGGGGCAGGGAAGTATCTAAACATTATCCATATTACCTTCTCCGAGTATGATTCCAAACCACTACTGCAGATCTCCTCTGGCACTAATTGGCACTTTACGGCTGGATGTTATTAAAGAAAAACCGAGTCGACGTTGTTATTTTGCCTGAAGAACGGGGCTGAGACGCTGATGAGACCTGGAGCCTGAGAGCCGAACACAAAGATGTTGGCTCTGAGGCCTGCAGCGAGACTCGGTGACTCCATGCTGAGCTGCAAAAGACTCATGCTGAACAGCTCACACACACACACAGACACACACACACACAGTTCAGTTATGAATGAGCGCCAAACACACGCTTTGGAGCTGCGTAAGCACTGGAGCATCTTTACATAAGGATGCTTGACTGACGCTGTGTGTCTGTATGTATCAGCTGCAGTACGTTTACAGCTCCTCTTCAGCTCTTGAGTCATCCTCTAAACTCAGACAGCAGTCATTACATCCTTCACAAGCCATTTCTCGCACTCCGAATGCAGCTCGCTACATCCGTGATATGACTAATGGTATATGCTTAACCCAGTGTCCTCTCAGTGCGGATGCCCTACTTACACACACCCCATGTTTCCTCCCCACAGTAATTCCCGTGATAATAGCCCCTTTTGGAGTGGGTGCTGGAGTGCAATTACAGATTTGGATTTTTATAATGAGCTTTCTCCCCCCCGGCAGGCTGCAGATGATGCCGCGCTGAGCTGTGGTGACGCCGGGACTGTGCAGACGAACTCAAAGATCCCTCACATCTCCAGGGTGGTGAACATTGCCAACACTGCTGCGATGTCCTTTTTGGCCAGGTAGATAAAGATTTCTGTGTGACAAATGAAAGGAAAAAGCGGAACAAATAGTGAAAGGACTGGGCGTGGGGGATATTTTACTGGCAAGGTCCACCTGTTCACTTAGAGGGAAGGGTCACTGTAAATCAATACAGTTCAGCTGTACTGAGTGATCACCTTTACCCTTCGATGAAACATTTCCCCGCTATCGTAAGATGATAATGCCTCCATCCATAAGACATGAGTGGTGAATGAATGGGTTGACGAAAATCACGTGAACCGTGCACTATAGCGGTTACAGACAACAGATCTCAACCCAAGTGAACACCTATGACAAATATGGGTCCAATGCCATCATCAAAACACTAAATCAGGGAATATCTTTTGGAAAAATGGTGGTCCTTCCCAACAAGAACCGTCCAAAAAACTGGAAAAACAAAGCCAACAAGCCCCGAAACCGGTCCAAGCCTAAAATGGGGAAAAACAACCTCCCCAAAAAACTGAAGGTGGGTTTTCCCTTTCATTCGTGACCCGTCTATGTATCAGAAGAAACAAGCATTGTGTATAAAAAATGTCTATACTGGCTCCACCATGAGTTTCAGTGATGTGACATGCCATCTCCCTCCTTCCCCGTAGGGCAGCCGAGAAGCTCAACCTGACGCTGAGGAAGAAGGGCCAGGCTTCTGATCCAGCTCCCTCTCATTTCTCCACCTGCTTCAGGGAGATCATCCAGAAAAACCCACCACCCGTCCCCTCCTGCCTGCTGCAAGCTGCCACGAGAACCAAAGACTCACCCAATGTTGGCAAGGTGGATGTCAAATTCTATCACATAAAGATGCAGACTTATCGGTTTTACAGCATTTGGTTCAGGTGCAGTTTGTTTAGAAGTGCAGCAATTATCTGCTACTCTCCAGCTCTACTAAAATACAACACAGATCCTCTACTCTGTGCTTTAAAGTATAAACAGACCTTCCACATTCCTACATGAATTCAAATGGAAACTATAAAAGTTTTCTACCAATAACAGTTGCTTTCATGTAATATCAGAAGACACACATTTTATGGAGACTCGTGCAGTACCTGAGCAAATCTGAACAGTATACAACCCCTGTGCAATATTGACTAAATGCCACATTATTTCAAATGGTATCACCTGTCAATAATTAGATGATTTCTAACTTGACAAGTCAATTATCTCCTCTTATGAACAATCAAATACAAATACTTTAAAAAGTTAATGTAAAAAAAGTGAATCCTGCGATCACTGGGACAAAACTGAGTCCACCTGGGATTTCTAATCAGCCTTATTGCATGTACAGGGTTCTAAGATGACCACAGCTTTCTCGGTTTTGGTCGTAAGGGATGTGTCTATCTGCATGTCTGCATCATGGTTCCACATGGCTCACATAAAACTGAGAAACCTTACTGTGAGACTTCCCAAAGATGGAAAAGGATACAGTAAGATCTGTGACCTCAACAAAAATCAGCCAAAACACAGTTGCAGCAGTAATCAGGAGATATGGATTGAGTACCACTAATCAGGGCTGCAGTGGTCGATGCCACAGACAGTGAACTACTTTCCCAATCTAACTCTGAAGAGCAGACGGGCGGGTGCTTCAGGCTTGGCACAGGGGTTATCAGTGAAAATCAGAGTTTCTGTTACGGCTCAGACAGTGTGAAGGACATTTTATGATGCCATCTTCCATGGACGGCATCCAAGAATAACACCCTTGGTTGCTCTACAGCGCAAAACTGTGAAATGAAACTTAGCTTCAGGACATGAAAAGCAGCTTGATGAGTATTCAGAGCACTTTCGTCAGTCAGCCAGATGAATTTGTTCGGTTTGGTGTGAATCAGGTCTACCACAGTTAATGCAGGGTCCTGACAGTGAAGCACGGAGGTGGGAGTGTGATGATTTTGGACTACATGAGTGCAAAAGGTTTTGGGAAGTTAACATTTGTAGATGGCACTATGAATATACTAAAATACTGGCTGACAAGATGACTCCCACTCTGCAGAAGTTTGGCAGAAAAGGAATATTTCGGCATGATAACGATCCACGGCAGACTGCCAAAAAATTCCACAAGACCTCCTAAAGAAGAAAAAAGTGGAAAGTATGACCTGGCAAGAATCCAACAGAACACCTTTGGGGTATTTTGAAGAGAAAGGTAGAGCAACAGAAGCCCTCCAGCAAAGAGAAGTGAAAAAAAATATTAAAAAAGGCAAAACATCTCTCTAGAAATTGGGTATCATCCATGTTGAGGAGTCTGTCATCAGAAGTAATGACGACATAGTATCAACAATTGATTCTCAGTGATGAAAGGCATATTGTGCTATGTTGAATTTTTAATATATTAACCCTACACTGTGTAAATATATAGAATATGTCTGTATTGGAGGCGTATCTTAGATAGACTATACAGCCATCCTTTCCCACAAACACCGCCTTGGACGTGTTTTTACCACCCGTGTTGCACAGTAAAGAGATCACAGTCAATTTGGAGGAGATCCTATATCACTCCTCCTTCACGATACACTGTAATGTGGTGCTAATGTCTCCATCTTGTTCCTCCCCTCCCTTCTCCTCGCCTCCTTCGGGAGAGAAACTGGGGGGGATCAATATGGCTGCCTGCCCTCCCCTTGTTTCATAGATGGACTCTTGGGTTTAGTCTAGAGTTACAGATAAAGGCTCAGATAGACCCCATCGCCAGCCACACCTGCCCGAGCACTCAGCGCTGTGTGCATCTGCGTGCAAAAATATGCATGTGTGTGAGAGCGCAGGAGGATTTTCTCTGCTTGCAAATGGGGCTCGTGAATAATTTAATCGTCATAAATAGAGTTTGACACATGTTCAATAGGGTTAGGGAGCCACTTCTTGCGTAAGGTATTAAAATTATGAGGAGAGGAGGGTTAAAAATCCTTCACAGACACCAGGAAGTTATCATGTGGCAGATGGAATATGGCTTTTGGGTTTTCAAAATCAGTCGATACGGGATGATGTCATCGTGGTGTAATGCAGCGCTGTGCAATTTCAAGCAAACCACATTCGATTGGGTGTCATGGTGCAGCTTGCCGTCTTGCAGACCTAAATTCTGGATGGGTATTATTTCATAATTGGCTTATAAACCTAAACAGGGCTTATTGTTGTGTTCTGTGAGGTACATGTTGCCTTGTCTTTCTGCAGACTAAGACCTGTGAGCCGTGTTAAATGGTGGTCCGAGTCAGTATCTAACTTAATTTAATACCTTAAAGCCTCTAAATCTCAGACTTCCCGTAGAGAACTGCATTAAGGAATTAATGTCACGACATGCGGAAATGTAGCAGGAGGTATGCATACTCATGCAGTTGTAAGAGCATGTGTAGTAGCTGCACTAACTGAATCATGTGGTCTGCTGCAGCCTAAAGAAATTACGTTTTTGTTTCAATTCAACATTTTTCTTCTTGACTGTCAGCTCATTAAGATTGTCTGTTTTTACAAATCAGCTGATAACTATAAAACAAAAGGACACATCACCAAAAGGGTACAAGGCTGCCTCACTGAAGTGATGTCAGCAAAGTACACCATCATTAGCTCACCATCCTTAAGCTCCATCTTAATCCTTTTTGACATTTACCACTTTGTTCTGCCAAGGTTTTCTCTTTTCCAGTCAAAGATTCTCACAATCTACAATGAATAAAATAGTATCTCAGCCTCCCACTGGTGAGCAGCAGGGGCTCAGAGCACAAGTCTGACTATTCTTGCGCTCTTTTGCAGTTATATTTGATGCCAGACTCCAGAGTTAAGCCCCCTGTTCTGGTAAACATAAGGTCTTAAACCAGCTACTTTTTTAAAACGAACATATAAATAGCAGTAACACCGTATAGTTTCCTCACTTGATGCGGTGTTCTCAGATTTCGGGATGCGAGGACTCTGTGAGGGGTAAAACTCGCTGAATTTAATATGAAGATATTTTTATACCTAGCTGTTCTGAAACTCATTGTTTTTTCATAAGTTTCCTTTTGCTGCTGGGATTTATTTTCAAAAGTTAAAGTTACATTTTTGCTTCTTGCGTTCTGAAATGAAGGGGTCACGAATCAGTTACATACATGTTGCTCAGTAAAAGTGGAACACCTATTGTCACTGCATGCATTTAATAAGTAATGGACTTTTCTCTTCTGGTGGGTCAGAGTAGTTTAAAGTGTTTGGACCTTTCCTGTATATATATGTGTACTGTATGTATACAGCCTGTACACTGGGCTAAATGCAATAGTGCAGCTCAATCTTCACTCAACAACCCTTGTAAAAGACATTTAACGTGCTCCCTCCACCTGTAGCTGCCCACTGGATGACTTTGCATTAAACTGGTGCACTAGTAAGCAAGCAGAATGCTAGTGACAGCATTGCATTTGCAGTTTTAACTGATTTTTTTGCATAACACATGAATTGCATTACAACAAGTGTAATGGCACTTAAATGTCAAATGATTCACCTTATGAGTTTGCAGTAATTAGATTACTTCTAATTTGGACATTTGATTTTAATTTAACTTGTGTAAAATACAGGGCCTACAGAAGGAACAAAAGTCAGTTCACACTCCATTACTAGGATTCAGAGATTTAATTGTTCAAAACTTTGTATGTCATCTTTTATTTTTGACAACAGAGATGCCAGTTTTGCACCAAATTCCTTTTCAGCTGGTCTTTGTGCTGATCTGGCTTTCTCTTTAAAGGAACCTAAAGATGTTCTAATGTCTGGCAACATACTTGGCCAGGCCACTTTTAACTTTTTCATCTTTAGACACTCTTGTGGAATTCTGGCAGTGAGCTTTGGATCATTATCATGTTGGAATATTCCTCTTTTACCAAACTTTTGCAGACTTTGTGTCATCTTCTCAGCCAGCATCTTGATATAACCACAGACAGTCATGGTGCCATCTATAAATGCCATCTCTCCAAAACATTTTGTTCTCATGCAGCCCCTTCATTACACTTCTACCTCTGTGCTTCACTGTTGGGACTATGCATTCACTGTGGCTATACTGGCCAGAAGCACACCAAACATTCTGGACCCCATCTGAGATGAACAAATTCATCTTGGCCTCATCTGACCAAAGAATGTGTTTTATTATTAATCAAGCTTCTTTTAAAGTCCTTTAGAGAATTTTGATTGTACATTTTTGTGTTGAAGAGCAACCAAGGGTGTTATTCTTGGATGCCGTCCATGAAAACTATCTTTATGCACTGTCCTTCCCACTGTCTGAGTCATCACACAAACTCTGATTTCCGTTGATAACCCCTGGGCCAAGTCTGACAAAATTGTGGTGTCACTGTATAACCATGTTCATTCAATTAGGCTAATTGGAAATCACAGGTGTACTCAGTTTTGTTTCAGTAGTCACAGGTGCATCCCCCTCAGTTTTATATTGTATATACTGTGTTAAACCATACCAATAAAAATCCACATGTATTCAAGGCTGCTCTACAGCAAGTAGCAGCTCTGTGAAGTTGTATTTCCCACAATGGTACTTTTAACTAATGTCTACGTGCAACCAAACTCACAGTGACAATGCTAATATGCTGATACCATAGTAGGTATGTTCCAATGCCACCATTATAACATTTGATAATTTACACCAAACCACAGACTGCATACAGTTTATAAACTAAGCAAACTACAGCTGAGACTGATGGGATTTTTGTGTTTTGGTCATAACTGAACGTACTGAAGCACATAAATGTTGACATTAGGCTTAAGGTTTAAAGTTACTAGGCTCCAATTTAACCTCTCGAGACATAAATCTCAACATGGTTCTTTTTTCCATTGGTATGCAGGTCAAAGTCGTGCTGAGGGTGAGCCCAACGCTGTCACAGGGCCAAGGCCAACCACCTGTTCTGTGGATTGACCCATCCAAGAAGAGAGTCACCATAATGGAGCCAGTCACCAAAAGCCAACCATTCACCACAATGACTCTGGGCAGGGACAGCAAAGGTCTTCTGAAGACCTTCAACTTTGACGCTGCCTATCCTCAAGAGTCAAGCCAGGTTTGGTTCTTGTTGCACATAATTTAACTCTGTGAACCCCAAAACTTGTCTGCAAGTATGGTAACAAATTAGAGAAAGTAAAAGCAAAATGAAACATGCTGTAGCAAGTAAATAAATGCAGCACGGCTCAGAAACAGCATACAGAGGAACAAGTTGTTGGATGATACATTCAGCATGGTGAAATATCGTTCTAGACCTGATGTGCACAGCAGTGTGAAAAATTGCTTAATTTCTTGAGTTTTAAAATGGCAAAATATGTATAGTATGCGAGTCACCATTTTTTCCAGTAATGGTAAGATCTATGGGCACTTGGAAAAACTGCAAGTACATGTGGATTCCAGCTTTATTTTCACTTTTTGTAAAATAATTATTCAAAACGATTCAACTTTCATTTTTCCTTTTTTGTGATTTCTGGCATTATAAATATGTTTTACTGCACTAAAGGTTTTTTTTTTTTTTTTTTTTAATTTTTTATCTTTTTAAGTTCTCTTGACATCTAGCTGTAGTTGTGCTGTTTCAATAGAGGTGCAGGACTGAATATTGCAGTAAAAAATTAGCCCAGAGTGAGTTAAAGTGCGACAGGAGAAGAAAAACAGCCAGAAACGGCTGGGGTTCAGACAGCTATTATGATTTCAAATGTTTCTATTTGTGCTCTTGATACCAATCTGTCTTAATGGATGTGTTTTACATCGACAGATGCTTGATGGTGTGGCATTAGTCTGGCCCATCATGTGTTTTCTCTTGTATTAAGTGCATATTTTCCCCATCTGTACACTGCAAACCATGATTAGTTCACTCTTTCTGTCTGATGACCTGAAAACTGATAGGACCGGGACAGCCGCCACAATTACACAGTCCATCAATTACGTTCAACTTTTCTCCAAGCTCTGCTTACAGTATAAGCCCAAGGGAATCCGCAGAATCAGTATGCCTTCCTCCTCTGCTTTCGCCTCTTTCGCTGTATTGGATGCACTTGTTCAGATGAATCATAAGATGCTCGCTGTCCTTTGTTCTCCCTGACCAGGCCGAGGTGGGTGCAGGCGTCTTGGCTGACGTCATCCGCTGTGTGCTCAGCGGCAGCGATGGATGTGTTCTGGGTTTGGGATGTGCTGATGTGGGTGAGTAATGGGACGCTGTAAGAGGCCACGGGTTAAAATCTTAAAATGAGAGTGGGGCTCTTTCATCTATGCTTGGGGGCCCTCCTCCTGCTCCTGCTCCTTTGTCCCACTCCTTCTATCATTCACCCTCTTCTTTATCACTTAAACTCCATTTTCTCTCTGTGTCCTTGTATCAGTCTTAATAAACCGCTCCTTTCTCTTTTTGCTTTCTCTCCTGCTCCATTTATCTCGTAAGGTTTTTTTTTGTTGTTGTTGTACAGTAGCGACGATAAAGTGTTGCCATTTCATCCTCCTTCTTCGTCATTCATCTTTCACCTGTTACTTTGTAAATAAAAGCCTATTCATCAATTATACAACACGTGTGCTTTTCTAAAAGCTTCCCATTGCCTGAAATATTGGCATACATCACAAAAAGACACAAATATTTTATTTTATTTTGCTGCAGCGCTGAGCTCAGAGGGGACTGTAAACAAAATGGACTGTAATATGTTGCTATTAGAGAGATGGAACCCTGCACTTAGCGTTGGTGAAGGGGTTTAATAGATTTTTGGTGCATGCACGCACACAGACACACACACACACGTACATGCGCACACACACAAGCACACATAAAGGACAGGGTCTCCTTGGAGCTGCTTTTTCACATGACGCCACTCTCCGTAAATCTGATTGAATTAGTTGGCCAATACAGACTACATGTGGCCCACAGCCAGGAGGATATCAATCTCCTCCACAGAATACTATTCTCTCTGAATAACGGCAGGCAGCTCGGCCTTTAATTGGAGTAAACCAATTCTCTTATCCTCATTCAATTAGAGTTTGGATAAGACGAAGAGAGGGTAAAACAGGCCCATAACTCAGAACGAATGTGGGGCAAAAGTGCACTCGGAGACACAATATGGCACCGGTCCATGAAGACATTCATTTGTGCATTACTGTGAGTTCCTGTTTTGCGTTTCGTTCGTGCCAGTGCACCTCAGCTTCCATGTATGTCCATGTTTCAAGACTGCTTTACAAATATGCATTCCTCTACAAGTATATGCATGGAAAGCACATTTTGTTTTGCAAATATTAGTTTTCTCCCTCTATGAAATGCCCATCTCTATGTGAACGGCTAACTATAAATGGTAGATACTCACCACACCCCAAAGGCTCAACCCCTACTATGCGTACCTGTTACTTTGTCACCAAATAAGCAGCTAAAAGCTTTTTGTGCAGTTTCCTAAATAGAACCATTTTATAACCATAACTGTTATTGTTAAATTATACCATTTTACATTATTACTGTTTTTATTAATATTTTATTTACAAGTTTTACAAGATATACATTTTATTCAATTTCTGGAAATCATCGACTTCCAGGATGCAATACCTTGCATCCCATACTGGATGATTCCTTTGAATCTAATGAACTCTTTATTTATCACTGGCTGTTTTGCATTTTCAGTTTCTTTGCTGTGAGCTCAAAGATAAGACTTATCATGGTGACTCACATTTTTTTTTTTCATTTTTAAACTCACCCACGATATTGGCGATTCTGAACCAACATCATGGTGGAAAAAACCCCATGAAAGTCTCAGGTTTTTATCTTTGTTGCTCAAACATAGCCTCAAATATGAATGCGCGAAAAGTGTGCTCAAAGTGGGTTGACAAGCAGCTAAAAAAAGAAAAAATCTCAGAAACGATTTGATATATCAAGCTAAAATTTCATAAGAATTTTTTATAAATATCTATATTGTCTTCTATAAAGATTTCAGGCAAACGAGAGATGATCAAGAGGAAATTGTTTGAAAAATATAATGATTTGAGATGGAATGACCCAAATTATAAATGTTCACATTTGTACTAAAAGCATTACTACTTAAAAGCATAAAACTATAGAGTATGCCTTACCATTTAGGTTGTTTTTAGGACTGAAATAGGCCCAGCACAAAAATATTGCAGAAATTGTGCTTCTCAAATTGTATATCTGTGTGCATATGTCTATAAGCCATGTATATGTACATGTACCGGCTGTGTAGTAATCAACGGAGCTTACGTACATCTCTGTGCTCTGTTCATCCATCAGGCTCCTGGTCCAGCATGGTGGGGAGCAGTGAGAACATCCAGAAGCTCGGGGTGATTCCTTGTGCCATCTCCTGGCTGTACAGCGCCATCGAGCGACGCAGGGAGAAGACCTGGACCGACCTGACCGTGTCGGTGTCGGCCATAGAGCTGTGCTGCGGGGAGGAGGATACGCTGAGGGATCTGCTGGGGGAGGTGGTCCCCTCATCAGGCGGCATCCAGGACAGCCCGAAGGCTCGGATTAGACTCCAAGACGACCCAGTCTATGGGATACAGGTAGAAGGAAAAATGTTGATATCTGGGAAAAGGGGGATTGTTACATTTCTGTTCAGTTCTTTCAGCACACAGTGGTCTGGTGACCCACATTCATGGTGAATTCCCTGATGAGCATAAACATCACTGAAACGGTTGTTGACTTATTGTCTCTGTCACGATTATGAACAGTCTACTCAATCTTTGTAAGCATAAATAAGACACTCTCAAATCTGGAAAGCATAGATCTAAGGTGAAAGTTTTTATTGCTGAGTAGTGACATCTTTTTGGCAGGTATGTTGGCTATATATCAGAGACTCTATTAGAGAATGAACAGACAAATAAATGTTATTTTACAGCAGTTTTAACAGCATCAAACCAGACAGCGTGCACACATTACTGGGAAATCTCTCAGGGTAATTTTTATTTAGACAGTCAGTTTGGATAATGGTCCACACTGTGCTGGAGAAGATGGTGCCGGTAGTGAGTGAAACCTATTAGACTGCATAACAGATTACATCTGATTACATTATGATTGTGCAGCTCTCTCCTCCCTCGCACTGCTGTTTGTCAATTGCAAGCCAGCAGGTCATTAGCGGAGGTATGTCATTCTCTGTTGCTTAAGTAAACACTTACACCTACTGCTGAATGGAGCTATTATTCCTAAACATTCAGTGGTGTGATTTATTACACAACAGGAAACAGTCAAAGTCTCTCAGAGAAAACCTCTGCCAAAGCTACATAAATCTTTTGTTCTGTTTATGTGTATCTGTATATATGGTGATAGACAACTGAGAAACAGAGTGCCTAGAACGGTCTTGGAAGTTTTCTCCTTTTATTGCCTTTCAACGCTGAATCATGGCCAACCAAATTTGGCTTTTGTAACAATAATTTTTTGATAAAAAATGTCCAGGTGAAAACAGATTTTCCCAAAGTAAGGTCAATTTGCTAAAAATAGAAAATGTAAATTAATAATAAGTATTCACCCCCTTTAAAATGAAACAGTAATTCAACACAGGAGCAGTCAGCTGGTGTTAGAAGTCACACAGTTAGTGAAATGGAGATTATCTGAACATAGTGAATGTGTCTTCAGTGATTGTGGTATAAAGACACCGGTATCTGAAGGTCCAGTCACTGGTGGATCAGTACTCCTGACAACAACTACACCATGAAGACAAAAACACTCCAAGCAATTCTGTGAAAAGATTATTGAGAGTCTGGGGATGAGTCAAGAAAATGATCAAGTGGGTGAATATTCCTTGAAGTACAGTTAAATCCATCATTATGAAATTCCTAGAGCAGGATGTCGTCCTGAGTCAACGTGTAAAAGAGTCTAGTGATGGAGGCCACCAAGACACCCAGGGCTTCCCTGAATTTTATACTTTACATCTTCAATAAATTGACTTTACTTTGTAGAAATCTGTTTTCACTTTGACACAAAAGAGTATTTCATAAGTTTTTGTTGAAAAAAACAAAAAAAAAAAAATGGAAAAGCAATTAAAGGGGAAAAAATCTAAGGGAGGTGAATAGCTTTTATGAGCACCATGCAGTTGGCAAACTGGCAAACGATGAAAATCAATTGAAAGATTTTATTAAAAACATTTACTACATACATTTTTCTTGTTGTTCCAGCTACGTAACCACAACCGAGTGAAGGCTCCCACTGCTGAGCGGGCGGCTTCCCTCCTGGATGCGGCCATAGCAGCCCGTCGACACAGTGACTTTGTTACGTACTTGTCCCACAGCTCCATAATGTTCTTCACTCTTCACGTCCAGCCTCCTCGTACAGAAAGCAGCACCATCGGAAAAGGTTGTAATGAAACTTTCAGCTACCAGCTTGTCCCTGGTGAAAAAAGCATTTTCCACTGAATTCAAAAATCACTGTTTATACATTTCACTTTACTATAAATCTTGTGATTGAGGTTCTTTTTGCATTGTCCCGCTCCTCTACTCTGATTTCCTTTCTCAGGTTCACGTGGCCCCACTAAGTTGACCATGATAGATGTGTGTAGTGGTTTGAGGGGGATTAACAAAAATAAGCCTCCTCATGCTGAACTGGGCCCGATTGTTGTGTCTCTGCTAAGTGGACATAAAACCACCCCAAGCAAGTAAGAATGTAACTCCAAAATGTTACTGGAACTTGATTTCTTAAAATAGTAGAGTTTTGGCTATTTATACAGGCCAAAAACTACAATAAAAACCACATAAGATTGTGACAGCTGGACAACTTGTACTGTTTCTGCACAGGGCCAGTAAGTTGACCATGCTCCTTCGAGAATCACTGGGTCATGCAAATTGCCACACCGCAGTGATCGCTCAAGTTGCTGATTCACTGGCAAACCTTCAAGAGACCTTCTCTACCATCCAGCTGGCTTCTCGCATTCGCAGGACACAGAAGAGGACAAAGGTACTGTACACATCCAGTACCGATTTTTTTTTTTTCTTCAAAATTTACCACCTTCGAATGGTGTCACAGTGTAGGTCCCAATACATAAAGGTAGATGGACTCACCAGGTGTTGACTGTAGGTAAAAGTCTACAACTTCTGTTGTGCATTTTTTGTGATAATCTTCTACTCTTCCGCTATCTACATTTTTTCATCTTCAAAATTCCCTTTGCTTTCCGAAACAACAAAAACAACCTCTGAGCAGCAACCCATATGCTGAAAATGACAAGTTTTGACAAAGATTTGGGTCATGCAGTCAGACAGATATAATTTGGTTCTTTCTGATGAGTTAGCCATTTTGATGACAGTGCATATTTGTGAACAAGGTCCCCCTCTACTGCAACTGCTATTTTGTTGGGACACCATCACTCCATCCTGGTCTTAGTGCCATCCAACATGACTATGATTGGGTAAAAGAAACAAACAAAAAAGTCAGCAATAATCAGGTGAAGTCAGATCCTTTGCTGTTGCTGACATGGCATTGTGGTGATCAGTCTGGCGATAAAATTACAACCTGGTACCATTAAAAGCTGTGTTTGAACGCACCATTTTGCATGTTAGCCGAATACCTTTTTTAAAAAATGTGTTCCCCACACTAAACTTAGTGCGCATGGCATGAAATCCCTGTGAAATGACACGTGTGAAGCATAAAATACGTAGAAATGACACGTGAAATGCTAGAAGAGAGAGGTGCAATTCTATATATCACATTGGTGATTAACATAAAGAAAAGTAAAATTTTCTTTGGTTTAAAACTTCTGGCAGACACTGTCTTATATGATTGCTTTCATTGCACCCCAATGATTGTCGATAGATATTTTGAGCCAGTTCAGTACTAGCTGTAGTAACATGATTCATTTTTATCCAACAGCAATCCACCTCATGTTCTCCGTATGGGAGGAGTCTGACCAAAGACAAGAAAGGGCCTCAGTCTTTCTCCCTGCGGGCGTTTCACTCCACCGATGAGGTTGATGTTGACATGCGTCCTTTCCGGCTGCGTGGTGAACTGGATGAACGTTCCAGTAGTGACCAGTCCTGTGACACAGTCATCCAAATAGACTGCGATGGTTTGGTTCACTCCAAAGCAGCCCCAAGGCAGGTGCAACCAGAGTTTGTGCCCATCATTCCTTCTTTGCATCCTAACAAGGCTGATTTGGATGACCCGGAGTTCACCGCTCTCCTTCAAGAGCTTCTGAGAATTCCTCAGCTGCAGGGAGAAAAGAAGACAGAAGACACTGTTCAGGGACATATTGAAGCTTTAAAAACAGAGAGGAAGCAGCCAGAGAGGGACTGTCTTAAATGTGACACTTTTGCTGAACTTCAAGAGCGTTTGGGTTGTATTGATGGAAGTGAGGTCATGGACATACTCAAGTCTTCCTCAAAAGCTGCATCTCTTAATAATACCCCAACTAAATCGCAACCCCAGAAAGAAACAGGGAAACAGGCAGATGCTGGAGCATCCGAACCACCACAAACATTGTTGAATCAAGGGTCAGGTTGCAGCCAGACCTCTGTAGGAGAAAAGCAAACAGATGGTGCTTTCCCTGGAGACACTTTTCAGAGAGAGGATTCAGGCTTGTATGACTGTGAGGAGTGTAGTGCAACCAGTTCCAGTGAGGAGCTGCTGAATCAAACTCTCAGTCGCAACAAGACCGGTCGTTCTGAGCCTCCAAAAACTGGAACTTGCAAATCAGGTGATGAGCTCTCTTCACAGGGCTTTAATACAGATGCTCAGGGCAGTTCCCTTGCACATCAGCCTTCAGGAAAACAGGAAAGTCCTGAAGCTGCTGAATGGTTCAAACCAGACAAAAGGGCCTCACCAGTTGGCAAGAGCACCCCCATATCTCCTTCCTCCTCCTGCTCGTCTTCAAACACTTTGGTTAAAAGTGTGATACTTGGAGATGTGTTACACAATCGCCCCAAAGAGGACATTAAGGAAATGAAAGCCACTATTACAGTGACTGTTCAACAGCCACTGGACCTAAAAGGTCAAGATGAACTTGTCTTTTCTATGGTGGAGGAGGTGACCATCAGTGGAGCGTACGACAGAGGGAGGACAGGCGGAAACATTATTTGTATCAGAGATGCTGCCCAGTCACAGGCACAGGCTGAAGGCTCTGCCAGCTCACAACCTATCAGGATAATCAGTAACGTCAGTGAAGAATCTGCTGCAGCTTCCTCCACTGCAACTAAAAGCTCAGATATTCAGCCTGAAGCCACGAAGGCTAGCAATGAAAAGCCTCAACATCAATACAGAAGGGAAAAAGGGTTCTTGCCTTCATTCATAAATCACATGTTGATTGACATGGATGTGGACTGTGATTTGGATGGTGCCAAAGAATTAGAAAGTCGTCATGAAACTGAGCTCAAAAGAAATAATGTCAAACATCCAGAAAGCAGGAAGGTACCTGAGAAGAAGAACGGGACACACGTTGAAAAGTCTGACAAGGCTTGTTACTCTTCTTGTAGCCAAATTTCTTACAACCCAACTGTCTTGGAAGATTTAAGTTTCTGCAACAAACCTGCAGAAAGCAAAATGTGTGAAAAGAAACATACAGACAAGCGACACCATAGAGACGGTGAGCATGTTTATTCCACTTCGAGGGTCTCAGAGGGGGGAGAAGTCGTTTGCAGACATGTTGGGAATCCCCCCAGGGGAGTTGGTGTTTCACCTGGTTGCCACGAAACCATCCTCGCTTCCTCTAAAACAGGCAGTTTACCTCGAGGCTGGCAAAATGCCAACCGCCAGGATGGCTACCTTGGCTTTCACATGTTAGACGACCACAGAGACTCAAGGGGGGTGACATCATCCACTCCTTGTAGCCCCGGGGTTACTCTGGAGAGGAGGCAGGGCAGACAGCACTCCCCTGCAAACCACAGCCTCCATATTGCCTCTCCTAGAAAACATGGAGCGGAATTCAAACAGGACTCCAGTGGTGCTCTCAGAAAGGGTGTCGGGTCTTTGTTTGAGATCTCAAGTCAAAAAATGAAACATGATAATACAGCCGGTAACGAGGAGAGCGGCAGGCTTTTCAATGCCAAACTGGAGCAGCTGGTTAGTAGGACTAATTCACTTGGGAGAAGCCCGAGAGACTTCCCAACTCTGCAAAGAGGCAGCAGCAACACTTCAATGAGCTCTAAGGGGAGCTCCAAGGGAAGTATTGAAGGGGCTTGTAAGGCAGGTCATAAAGGCAATAATGAGCGAGACTGTACCTTTCCAAGAGCCAGCAGAAGCCCAAGGAAAAATCCTCGTTCTGACCAGAGTCACCACTTCTTCCCCTCTGAAAACCCAGTAGCTCAGTCCGGTAGGCATTCTAAACTGTCTGCTGTTGGGAAACTTAAAATGGCCGGCCCCAAAGTGCGTCGCCTGTCTGCGCCAAGCATCAAGAACCTCAGCATGTCCCACAAAAACCTGCAGCAGTCTATCAACCGCAGCGCCAGTCTTTCCCCAGACAGTAAGTCGGTTAGCTTTGAGCGGACGTCCTCCTTTTTCTCCTCCTCCCCTCCTCGGTCTTATCACTCCATCAGTCGGACCCCGAGTCAGAGCTCCACGTGTTCATCCACAAAATCTGCCATCCAGGGGTTTGTCAACGGTCGGATCTCAGACCTCCTTAAAGAAAGGGCCTCCAGTCCGACAGCAGCAGGAGGCCCGGACCAAACGGCCGCGCTCCCCTCCCCGTACAGCCAGGTCACGGCCCCCCGCATGCCGGATCACATGAGTGGACACGCCAGCGACACCACCAGCGTGTTGAGTGGGGATCTTCCACCGGCGATGGGGAAGACGTCGCTGTACTTCTCTAACAGGAACAGTTTGGTGAGCAGCGGCTACGACAGCATGGTGAGGGACAGCGAAGCCACAGGAAGCAGCACCTCGACCAGAGACTCAGTCAGCGACAGGAGCGGCTCTCTGCTCAGTGTGGCTCGCAGCAGCCGATCATCCCGGAGACGAGGCAACACAGGTAACACACCTGGATTTACAGGCCCCTTAATGAAGTGAACTGGAGGACTTTTTATAAAGATTAGAACCTTCAATCCACGTGCAAATGACTTTTTTTTTTTGCTTAGGGTTTAATTTGGGGGGCAATTTTTTGCTAACATCATCTCAACAAACGTTATATTTTTTGACCAATTTTAAAATGTTTTCATGTTTTGCTCTGGAAATTCACCTTGAACCCACTGTTCAGGATGACCCTGAGTTTCTGAATCGCAAATTTAATCCTGCTTTTAGACAAAACATACCAAAGGTTTGATCGAAGTAAAAACCAAGGATTGGATTATTTGATCTCATCTAATTTCTTTTCTAATTTAGAACAAACTATTTTCAAGATTTCATCCAATTCAGTAATCGAATGCAATTTAGATGGAAATTTGAATCTAGTATTAAAGTCAAGTTTTTTTTGTTGTTTTAAAAAAAAAAAAAAGATTTAAAAAAAATAAAAATTGAGATGAAATGTAAACAGTGGTGTTTACATTTGAGAAATTTTGCATAAAGTAGCCAAATTATTCCTTCTCCAGACAACATCTAGTACCTGCAACTTGCACTAACAACAACAACAACAACAACAACAACAAACCACTAACACCATCTTTACATGAATGACAGTCCCAGTATGACGTTTTCGGCTTGTAATGTGACCACATAACATATTAATGTGACATTAATTAGAGATGACACACATCTGTAGAATGCAGTCAGACCCAGTTTCCTCATTGGCATTAAAAGCCTGATTGTGTCAGAAGGAGCATCATTAATATATGAACCCAGTGTCGGCACTTACTAATGGAAGCATAAATGCAGAGAATGAATGTGAGTGTTTGTCTGATACAGTCGTTCATAAAGACGGGTGTGTGCATATGAACAATCCTTGCTAATGGAATTTTACCCTGAGAAACCCCTGGAAGCATGTTTGTTGAAAACACATTGCAATGATGCTGCTAATGGAGCAACAAAAACAGAACAAAAGGCTCGTGATGGATGAGCTAATGAATTTAAAGTCCCCCAAAGTGATCTACTGTTAACTGGGTGATTAAATTCTATCTGTAGTTTTTTAAAAGCGTCCTCATTTGCAGTTGGAGGACATAAACTATGTACTATATCTGTTCTGGCAAACTGAGTCAACACAGAAAGAGTCACAGAAATCATGTCTTTTGTCTTAAATCTTGGAAGCCCTGCAAGCTGCATTTGTCCTCGAGCAAATTTTCTTTATTTTTTTTTCAGTTGAAGGGCGGTTAAGGACACAAGCCTTCATTTGCCATACAAATTTATTCTTACTGTAGGTTTGCCTGTACGACTGTATTGTCTTCTGAACTCTATTTGCAGCAGCAGCCATCATGTTGATCCATCAGCACCACTGCAAGTTTAAATTCTCAAGCTGATTTTTAAATAACTAAACTTAAAATCAAAATTTAAAGTCAACAGAATTGTGACTCTGCATTAAATATGGTTTGATTTGCCATCTTTTTAAAAATAAATGTGTCAGAAAGTATCCAGACAGAAAACAGAGTATTAGACATAACACTCCACTGCATTTATACCTTCTCCCTGCTGTAGGTACTCAACAGCGCCGTCTTTCCCACGATGCACCTCCGACCCTGAAGCGCTCCACCAGCGGTCTGCGATCTCGCTGGATGGATCGAGGAATCCCAGAGGCCTACGAGATCAAGGTCTATGAGATCGACAATGTGCAGAGGATGCAGAAAAGAGCAGGTGCTGGCAAACAGGTGCTGCGTTTATTTTGATTTTTTTTTAAGAGGCAAAAGGGCATCATGTAACATATGACCTTTATCAACCTCTGCGGGCAACCAGCTGACGAAAAGGATCTTGGACACAATTTTCAGTTAGTAAAAATAGACGGATCACCTTGTACGCTGAGAAAGAGAAATGTTGGAGCAACTTAAATGCAGCAACTAGTAACACACAATTAAATTAATGAATCCAATTTAGGTTAAGAAGTAAAATCAATGCCACCCGTTTAGGTGAGCTGCACTTAAATCATTTGAGTTCTTTTAAATGGGCATTGCAGCAACTGAGTTTTAAGAGAGCTCAACTTCATGTTTCTAGTTTTGCCAACTTAAATATTTGCTTTACACAAATGTAAAACATGATATGGCCATTATACTTCTTTCCTTTTCTTTACTATGTCTCGAAGAAAAAGGCAATCTCACAATTTGAAGAAACAGAGAAAATTGTCAAAATAACTTTAAAAATTCTTTACTATTTTTCAGTTCTTAATATACAGAATTTTTAGTTCAAATACTGGCAAATATTTGTAAAAATAATAATGTTTTTTTCTGATTTGAAAATGGTAAAAATTAGGCAAATTTTGGGAAAGAAAAAATTACCATTTGCAAAAAATAATTAGTGTAGATTATTTACAGTTTTTGCCTGTCTTTGTTTTTACAGTTAACATGTAAATAAATGCTTTTTAAAAAAAGATTGTATTAGTTATCTGTAATTTAGTGAAACAGGGAAACAGTATGTAGCAAAAAAAAATTAAGATTAACCGCTGGGTTATATTTTATTTTATTTTTTATGGTAATTCAACTTCATAAAGTAGCCTGTAAAAAATAAGAAGTGACGAGAAGAAAATTTAATTTGCTGTACTCATACAAGCAGAGCCCCAGCCGTGGCCTCTTCTCATAGTTTGTGAACACATCAGTGGCCTAAAGGTTGTAGATCATCAGTTTGCTGTGCAGTCAGTCAAAGGAGGAATCTGTTTGGGTAAGTTAAAGACCGACACTGACTGTAATCTACTAATCTACTACTGTAGTGGCCACTAATAAAGCCTGCGGTTGTGCTGGACAGCCATCAGATTATACAAGCAGAAGTAGCACGCTGCTGAAGAAGAGTGTTCTTAAAGAAGTGACCCTGGGTGAGTAAGCAAAGCTAAAATAAAAAGACTCCACCTCGCATTCACAGCTGAAATAAAGCCTGAGAGCAGACCGCGGTGCCTGTGGTGGGTGTGGTGACGTCATGTCCCCATGACGAGAGGTCTGGCCTCAGGAGACGACTCCCTGCCTCCTCCAGCCTCCAACCCGGCAACTTTGATGCAATTTTAATGACCACATGGGGGGAAACTGGGTCAGTGCTGCAGCCGGGAACAAAGACGTACACTAGAAGCAGAAAAAAAAACACAACACACTGTAGGTAAAAACATAAGATTTGAAAAGAAAATGCACATATTGATTTGAGTTTTAATTGAAGTATCTCTTTTTGTGTTTGTGTTATGGATTTTTTTGTCCTTTGGGAGGAGAGAATGACTGAAATACGAGTCCTCGCTTTGCAGCAACGCTTGTCCTTTATATTTAGAAGTTCATCTTTATTTCTCTTCAAATAAAGTGCATGTACTGACCTTTAAAATGGTCCCGACTGTGTAATAAGGTTCGTATAATCAGAGAGTAGCCCACAGAGCTGTTTCATTTAACTCCCCAGAGGTGCTGTCTCTGCCCTAACATGGTGTTTACGACTGTGTGAAGACAAACCCTCAAACCAAACACTGTCGCAGCCCAGACGCCAGACACTTTTATTTTTAATGAGAACAAGAGAAAAACTGGGTGATTGTTTTCCAAGTGGGGAGCATTTTATTCTGCGCAAAGCTTAAGATGCCCTAAATCAAGCTTCTTTTTTTTAAAAAATGAGTTATTACGTACTACATGAATGTTAATAAAAGTAGTGAAATGTGTGTGTGTTTGTGTGTGTGTGTGTGTGTTTGTGTTGTCAGGGGCCTGCATGCTTCAGTGCCAAGCTGAAGTTTTTGGAGCATCGTCAGCAGAGGATCTCAGAGGTCCGAGCCAAATACAACAACCTGAGGAGAGAGCTGGAGGAGGTCAAACACGACCTCATGCTGGAGCCCGACAAGTGGAACCAAGAGTGTCAGTGAAGTTTTTATTTCATTGGCTTGTTGTGACAGATATACTGTACAGTGAGCAGAGAACAGTTTTAAAGATTTTCCCTGTTTTCTTAAATAACAAGTGAAATCACAGAAAATATTGTCTGTAAACAAAACAAACAAACAAAAAAAACAGGCAAAAACTGTAAATGTCAACTTCAAATATCTGTATTTTTACAAGTAATTCTTTATTCTTTCTTTCACAATGTATGGCCATAAAATTACACTATTTTGCTGTGTGTAAATCATAAAAAATATCATTATTTTTATATTTAAAATTTTCCCGTTATTTGAAAGAAAAAGTGAAAAATGGTAAATCATTTTTCTAACTGGCATTTTGCAGATTTTCCACATTTTGTTTAATTACTGGTAATAACTCATAAAACCACAGGAAAAAAAAAAGAAGTAAATTCACATGTTGAGTGTAAAAAAAACTGTAAGTAATATCCATATCAAAAATCTGTTTTTTTAAAAATACAAACAATAATTTGTTCTTTTACAACATTTGACTCTAAAATGACACTGTTGTTACTGTGTATAAATCAGCTAAATCTGTCATTACTGTTTAACAAATATTTGCCGTTGTTTAAAAGAAAAATTACAAAATTTTTAGGCTTGTGCCAAAATTTAATCATCAAGCAAAATTTCAAATGCAGATAATTAGAAATTACATTAACCGACAAATTATCCATTTGGAAAGTAACTAAAAAAATGTTTTGTTAAAGTTTTAACTACATTTTTCATTCAGTTAATTTCGATGGTGAGAACTGAACAAAGGACTCCAAAGTGACACAGAATCTTCCGTTAGTCCCATCCTCACCCCTGTTCGTGACTTCGTACACGCTATGTAATGTTTTTTGCTTCGTACATAAAACAAGTGGTGCCGTTATCGAAGGTAGGATTTGACCTGGAAGTGGTCAGATGAACAAACTGTATTATTGGCAAAGCAAGTCTAAGAGCATGGCAGTGTCTTATAATACCATAATGATTTGGGTGGATTTGTGCCAAATTGGAAACGTGTTTTGAAAGTGAGGAGTCTCTGTGTTTTGTGCAGTGTCACCGTGCAGACACACTGTGGCTAGTTTTCACTGTTTACTGCAATATGATCTGCACACAACAAAAAAGAAACAAATGCTGTACAGCAGTGTATAAAGTGAAGTGTTACCTTGTTTTCCGTCCCCCAGTCGACCTGTGGCAGACGTTCGAGGTGGACTCTCTGGAGCACCTGGAGGCCCTTGAGGTGGTGACGGCCGGTCTGGAGAACAGAGTGAACCTCTGCAAGGCCAACGTCATGATGGTCACCTGCTTCGACGCCACAACCAGGAGACGACATAAGAAGCGACGACGCAAAACGCCAGAGCAGAGAGCCTTGAAGATGAAAAATAGTGAATATTAAGATTTCCTTGAAGACTCTTACGATTTATCGTGTACACCGATCGGCCACAACGTTAAAACCACTGACAGGTGAATTACATTGGTCATCTCATTATCATGCAGCGATCTACTGGGAAGCCTTGGCTCGATTGTATTCAATGTCATACTTTCTTGGTAAACTGATTAGCTGTTTAGTCTATAAAGTGTTAGAAATTGTGAAAAATGTCTGTGTTTTGATGATAAATGTCTTGTTTT